TTCGCACTACACCGGTAAAGTATAGTGCACCCTCGCTTGACATGATTTGTCAAGTGCATATATTTACGCTGCGCTTCTGTGTCGGAGTGAGAGGGGGTGACATAATATAACTGCAGTGGGGAGGGGGTTATATCACTATTCGGATTCACCCCCTTCCAATTGGATCCGAAGGCTATACATACATTTCCCTATTGGGGTCGGTTCGCACAAAATGATTAGCCTTTTGTCAAGGCGCGCGTGGCTAGCACAAAAAAAGACCAGTGCTAGTGGCGAAGCCACGATCGCTTGCCTTTACCATCTCGTGGAACTAATCACTTATTAATTTATTCAAGTAAGATAAATCATACATTATATTTGCGGTTACCAGCGACACCGCGCGCGCACCAGACGACGGCTGTTTTATGATGCATCTCATGCGAGCGGTCCATGCATTCTCCACTCGGCTTCGCCGTCTCGCGGACCGCTCATAGTGCATCATCCAACAGCCGTCGTGCTGAAACCATGGGCGCGCGCGCGTGTGTGGAATGGCCAGATCCCATAATGCATGTAATGTTTTGGTCCGGCAACTAGAACCAACTGCTAGCATTACAATCCCGGGACATACCGTTATTTCGTTTTACCGTTTTTCATTTCCTCAAAACAAAAACAGTAAACGAACCATTGACCGTTATGTCGTTTTACAGTTTTGTAACACGGTCAAACGGTATTAAGGTAAATACGGTTTCTCTGTTTTATAAGTTTGATAAAATTCATTAATTACAGCATAACGATCAATGATTTTTGTTTTACAGTTTTACACACATAACATTGAAAAACAGCAAAACGGTCAGTATTGAATACAGACTGTTTTTTTTATTTCAGTGTCGTAGCGAAAAGTCCGTAGTGCATTTTGTGGTGGTGGGGAAGGAGGGGGGGGGGGGGACACCATGCTTTACATGAAAAAATGTTACCTCGGCATAATGCGTGGTGTGATTCCTGGCGTGACCCTGACCCCCTTCTCATGCGATTCAGTTGGTGGGGCTTAAGAGTTGCAAGCAAAAATGGCGCTGGAAAATTTCAAGGAGGACATTACTTTTTACAATGGATACAGGATGGTAATACGTTTGAAGAAGTTGCAGATATTTGAAGGAAATTGGAGTTCGTCGCGGTTCTTCAATAGCCAGTTCGAAAACTATGTCGTGAGAACGAAATGTGAGGAGGGCAATTTGGGTCCCAGGCAATGACTCGATCCCATGGACGCATTAACATTCCTAGGTGCATAATTGCCGAACCTAAATCAAAAAATGGTCGACAGGACTATTGCCGTTTTTTCGTTGTCATGTTCTTCCAATCCAATCAATACTTCATTCCACTCAATCAAATAACAATACATGGAAAATGGGTATAATTAGAATGAAGGGCGATTAAGTGGTGGGGGCCTCCAAAAAGCAGGGCTTGTCGAGTAGAGACCCCCATAATGTGCATAGCTTAAAGGATTAGATTAAACAGACATAGTTAAATTAAATGCTATACACTAATTAGTAATAATGACTAAGTTACACAAGCAACAAGGACTAGGACAAAGACGAGGACGTACTGCACCGCAGTATAGGGTATTGTTCACGATGATCATCCAACATGAGGGGTTATGATAATAAGGTAAATAATATAAATGAACTGTATTCAATCAAGTCAAGTCAACCGGTTTGATATTTTCCCAGAAAGATACACTTCAATTTTCGCTTAAATAAACGACGACTGTTAACACATTTAGTGTCATTATCCAAAGAATTCCAGAACTTAGAACCTTGAAAACGAATTCCTTTTTGGGCAAATGAAGTACGTGTTAATGGGATATGAATGTCACTGGCATGTCTAGTATAATGTTGATGGACAGAAGTATTTATACAAAACATAGATTGGAAATAATTAGGTAATTCATGTTTAAAGAACTTATACATAAAAACTCCTAACTGGAGTAAATAAATATCATTGACTTTAAGAGTCTTATGTCTAATGAATAATGGATTTGAGTGAGCTCTAAAGTCTACATGATCAATAATTCTCAATGCCCGTTTTTGTAAAATAAAAATTCTATTTACAAAATGTGTATTTCCCCAGGCTAGAGTACCATAGGTAATATGTGATAAAATCAAAGAATTGTAAATATTATGTAAAACCTCGGACGGAAAGACATATTTCAATTTACTGATAATGCCTATGTTTCTCGACATTAGTTTACTAAGGTTATTAATGTGTTGACTCCAAGATAGCTTGGCATCAATAAACAAACCTAAAAATTTAACATTTTTACAGTCAGTTTGAGTAATCGGTGAATTATCGAATAAAATATCTTGAGGAGTCAAGAAACTGTGTTGCTGAATAACACGAAACTAGTTTTATCAATAATAATAGACAACTTGTTAGCTTTAATCCAGTTTGAAACATGAGTGAGCTCCCGGTTAACTGTATCAATAAGATTGTCTACGTTTCTATGGGAATAAAATAAATTTGAATCATCAGCAAAAAGTATAAAGGAAAGAATCTCAGAAGATTTATCAAAATCATTAATATAAATAGAAAACAACAAAGGAGCCAGTAAGGACCACTGTGGTACTCCACACGTTAATTCTTTAAGGTTAGATTTCTTGTCATCAATACAAACAAACTGTTGACGATTAGTAAGATATTTCCTGAACCACTCCAAGGCAATACCTCTAATTCCATAAAAGTTAGGTTTCGATAAGAGAATTTCATGATCAACAGTATCAAATGCCTTGGAGAGGTCCAGGAAAATTCCCAGAGTATGGCAAGACTGTTCGCGTCCTGTGGTAATTTTGTCAATTAGTTGCAGGATAGCATGTGAGGTTGAGTGATTCTCTCTGAACCCATATTGAACATCAGATATAATATTGTTTTTCTTTACAAACTCAGATGTGCGAGTATAAATAATACGTTCAACAATTTTGGAAAAAGAAGTTAAAATAGAAATGGGTCTATAATTACTCATCAGGTGGGGGTCACCCTTCTTAAAAATAGGAATGATCCTGGCTATTTTCATAGACTGTGGAACTATGCCAGTAATAATTGACTGATTCATTATATAAGTAAGCGGCCCAGAAATACTGGAAATAATATCTTTGATAGTTAAGCTGTTAAAAGAATCATGACCAGAACTTTTCTTATTGGGTAAGCTCAAAACGATTGCATGAAGTTCTTGTTCTGTCACAGGAGCAAAAAAAATGGAGAAAGGATTTGGATTGTGAAGATAATTTTGATAATGAGTAGGACAATTGGGAATTTGAGTTGCAAGTTTGGGTCCAACATTGACAAAATAATTGTTAAAGTGCTCTGAAATTAAATAAGGATCTTTAATACTAGAGTTGTTAACATGTATACTAAAAGTCTTTCGAGGAGTATTGTTTAACAGAGTTAATAATTTTCCACGTGTTCTTAATGTTTTTCTTCTCCTTTTCAAATTGGTTGGAAAAATATTTTGTTTTTGCAGTACGCAATACAGTGGGGAGTAAGTTTCTGAAACGGATATATTTATGTCGGTTAGTGTCACTGGGAGAACGAATATATTTATGATAAAGTTTGTTTTTATGATTGATAGATTTTAATAAAGCTTGGGTTATCCACGGAGACCTAGAATGGTACTTTTTATTTGTGTGATTAGCTCTAACCAATGGAATATTTTTATCATACAGATTATTAAAAGTATTCATAAAAATGTTAAAGGATCTATCAGGATTATCTGCATTAAAAATTGCAGACCAGTCGGTGGATTTCAAATCAGATTTAAAACAACAAAGCTTTTCGGGGGAGGTTTTGCGAAAATATTTGGATTGGATGGGGTGAATATTTAAATTGTATGGAAGTTTTGTAAATATGGGAAAATGATCTGAAATATCGGTAACTAAAATGCCTGAGCTAAGAGGAGGAGGGATATTACAAAATATATTATCAATAAGGGTAGCGGAAGTAGTCGTAATTCTCGTAGGTTTATTAATTAATGGAATAAAAGAGTGGCTAAACATTGAATCCATGAATTCCTGAGTTTGATTGTGATGGTCGCTATTTAAGAGGTTGATGTTAAAATCTCCCGAGATATGGCACGGTTTATTTCCATTGGAAAGTAAGGTTTGAATTTCCTGAAGTGAAATAAAAAAGTCATTAAATGAAGCGGAAGGCGGTTTATAAACAACTCCTACAATAATATTCCTATTCTTATGATTATTAATTTCGATTCTTGTAAAACAACACTCTAAAAATAAAGCAACTAACCGTTTATCGCTTTTAACAATTAAGAAAAACAACAAAAAGGTCATTGTTTTTGTGACCTAATACCGTTTGACCGTTTTACAAAACTGTAAAACGAAAAAACGGTCAACGGTACGTTTACTGTTTTTGTTTTTGAGGAAATCCAAAACGGTATAACGAAATAACGGTATGTCCCGGGATTCATTACTTTGCACACAACTCATATCAGTTTGCCCGACAAATGCCCAGTTGTTCACACATGGAGTTGCACCGAAAATACCCCTTTTTATCTAGTTCGGCTCGATTGTGTTGTCATTTTAAGTATATCCTTTGCTGTATAAAAATATCTTCAGTCTTTGGTGAGTATTTACTTGTAAGTTGAATGAAAATGGAAAATATCTCTAATATCTCTAAATAGCTCTACTGGCGAGTCCCCATGTCAAGGTACTGCCTAATTCGGTTGTACGGTTGGCATGCTCAGTGGCATCCCTATATTTTCCCCTACAAATAGGACCTATTTTTGGACCCTTATTTTATCAAATCTGTTCTTAGATAGTAGCCCAAAAGCTAGGGAGATGATCCTCGGCTATATTCGCACGATTCCACCGATTTTCAAACTAGACGGTATCGTTTTTTTACAAAAAATGGTGGGGTCACTTTTTATGCAAATGACTCGCGAATACAGTTTTGAAGCCCTAATCATTCGCGAATTTATTGCGCCCGCTGTCGGTCTTATTGTGCCATTCGGATATATCGTCTGTCTAGCAGTGTGTGACCTTCTGAACTATTGTTATCATAGGATCTTTTTCGTCGTGCAATATGCAAACAGTGCAATGGAGTAGTAGGTGTTATGACAATAGAACGTTAACCTGATATGTACCCGCAGTACTCGTGAGTCGTGACAGACGAAAAGATTCAAGATGGGACAGACACTGACGAAATATGTTCAATCATGGATTGAACCATGGATAGAGTATATAGTCGACATAAGAAGTAAGTGCACCAGGAATATAGATCATGTATCATCCCAGCGTACGCTACATCACTGTACTCCACTCTCACAGAGCCCCACTTTTCAGTTACATTTGACTGTTTCCTAGTCAAATTAGAGTGCCATAGAGTGTAGGCGGGTTACCTTAAGTACATGTATGTATGTATTATAATTGTGTGTGAACCCAGTGTTGTACTATTAGTGGAGCTCCTTTGGTCCATTTTTAGCCCAAATCGTGTACTTTGTGGTAAAAGCATGAAATTTGGCAGGTTGGGTCCAAATGGCCTAGAATTCATTTTAAGATCGGGACCCATCCTGGATCTTGCCCATTTTGGGGGCGGAGCTTGATTTTTTTTTAAAGCGGGTGCAAACAATACCAACTCATAAAAACTGTATTTAACATTCATTTTCCTTGTTTTCTATGGTTTGAAATAAACTTAAACATAAAATATAACATTCTAGCATTCGAACACCAGTTAATCTCCACCCATTTTGTGGGCGTGGCCTAAATGTACAAAAAGAGGCGGTATATATTAGCAGTTTGGTTCTAATACGGAAAACATTATTCGGTTTGGTAATAAAATCCTGAAAATTGGCCAGTTAAAATGGGCTGAAAATAATTTTAAGAGGTGAACACATCTTGGATCTTGCACAATTTTTGGGGGCGGAGCTTGATTTTTCAAAAAGGGGAGTGCAAAAAATAAAAAACTCAGAAAAACTGTATTTAACATCCATTTTCCTTTGTTCTTCATGCTTGAAATAAACTTAGACATGAGAAATAACTTTATGAGAAATAACACGTTAAAATTGTGCAGCAGCAGGATTCCAGTCGAACCAGTGAGTTTGGTGGTTTGAGACGTCATCTTACATTGAAAGACATCATCTTACATTGCCGACGCGCATGGCTATGGCGACGCGCGCGCATACCAGAAACCAGAGCCTTTTTTGGCCTAATAATCGTTTGCTTCGTTTCGTATGAATAAAAAGGAGTAAATGCTTCAGATTTCAAATATGCACTTGTCATCTACAAGGCTGGGTTGGGGCAACCTTGAAATTATAAAGCAAAATAATTCTGCGCAAAAACTACTGCATTTATTAAAGTTCATAAAGTACAAATGATACCATATGTTTGTATGAATAAAGCATGGCATTTGCTTTTTCTACCACTTTCGAAGCATTTACTCGCATCTGTATGAATGAAAATTAAGCAAACACTTTTACTAAAAACCATTTGCTCTTGAGTAAATGGCCTGCAAAATGTAAAGCTTTACACGTTTATAAGTATGCAGAAAATAAAACTATCGTAACCGAAACGGAAAGCGGCACCGGGAGGGTCACGTGCCGTTTACGTGCACAATGCGCTGTGCATCGGCACCCATGGTCTACATGTGGATGGGGTTTTCAGTCCCTACCTGATTCCGTGGGTTTTCCCCAGACTATTCTTCTGGGGTTTTCCTCCCACCTCTAAAACTGTAATTTCTTCTCATTGTCTTCTCTCTACGTTTTTTTTTTCGGGGTTTGCGAGCTACAGTGCCTGGGGCATGCACTTTTGAGGAATCCTTGGTTTCATTACCAAACAAAAAGAATTATTTATCGTTAACTTCGTTTCGTATGAATATAAAGGAGTAAATGCTTCAGATTTCAAATATGCACTTGTCATTTTGAAGGCTGGGTTGGGGCAACCTTGAAATGATAAAGTAAAATAATTCTGCGCAAAAATTACTGCATTTATTAAAGTTCATAAAGTACTAATGATACCATGTTTGTATGAATAAAACATGGCATTTGCTTTTGCTACCACTTTGAAGCATTTACTCGCATCTGTATGAATGAAAATTAAGCAAACACTTTTACTAAAAACCATTTGCTAAAATCTGAAAATAATTAGTTTTTACCTTTTAGGTTTTGCTACACTATAAGCGTTTACTATATAGTATGAATATAAAAGAAGTAAATGCTTCAGATTTCAAATATTTACTTGTCATATTTCTGAAGTCCTTTATCTACAGAACTGTAGGTCCGATTGGGTTGAAACTTGGTATGTGGCCAGACCGGGATGTGTTATAGGTAAACAAATGAAGTGACGTCATGATGACGCCATCCTGAGATTTTATATGAATATTTGCATTTTTGGACCGTTTAGCCATATCTCACGAACGCAACATGCAAAGTTAAAAATTCTTTTTTTATTTGGTTTGTTAGGTAATAGGTATTTGCACAACATTTTTGAAAAACTTGGGTAGGTAGATAATGGTACTAGTATGCAAAGTCCGAAGTGACGTCACGATGACGTCATCGTTTGATTTTTTTAAATGATTTTTAAAATATTTATGATTTTATTATGCTTCCAAAATTGCACACTTTCTTTCATCGGATTGAAATTAAACTTGGATCAAACCAAGACCACAATGACAAAATGTGTATTGAGAAGGGTTTTAAAGATGACGTCATTGCAGGGCATGTGACGTCATGTGATAAAATTATATTTTAGGAATTATTCTAAGCATTTGAACAACCTTTAACTGCATGAAGCACTCTGACAAGTGACTGCAAAAGGACCAACGAAACATAAACATTTGTAAAATGCGAAAAGCCCTGTGTTCTGTTTGCAAACAGATGTGGTGTCTTTTTTTTATTTCATCTTTTTATTTTTAATATGACGTCACGTGACATGTGACGCCATATTAAAATTGCATATTTTGAAGGCCAATATCTACAGAACTACTGGTCCGATTGGGTTGAAAGTTGGTATGTACCTAGACCGGGCTGTGTTATAGATGAAAATTGAAGTGACGTCATGATGACGTCATAATGGGTTACGTGACGTCTCGTTAGAGATTAATAGATTTGATCTTTAAAAATCAATATAAAATCAACCGTGAGAGACCTGAACATGATTTTCGTGGGATATGATAGAATTATCGAGGGTCTTCATTTTTTATATTATGTGCAAAATCACGTGACCCTTTCTTCCGGTTGAAACCGGAAGTGCCTTGTAATTTAAAATTGGTGAAAAATGTGAACTTGCATCAACGATGTATGCCCTGGCGAAGTTGTTCTTTACCATAATATTATAGTTATAGATGAAACTTGATGTGACGTCATCATGACGTCATCATGTGACATGTGACGTCATATTTCACAGCCCTATGAGAATATAATCACATATTATATGCCACCATTTATTATAAACAGAACTACACACCCTTCCTTGATGGAACATATACTTGAAACTTTACTTGTCACAAGTCACAAAAAATACCGAAACAGCCCTGTGTTTGTCCACAAACATAAATCTAGTTTGAATTATAACTTTCTCAAAAGAATGGACCACCGTTATCATACTTTTGTAATGTGGCAGGCATTGCCTCAGGCAATGTCTTGGATTCCCGTGTACAAAGCCATTTGTCAATTACTTACGGTGCTACTGGAAGTGCACTGAGAAGTGAATATAACATAAAACCGGAAGGATTTTACAACAATTAAACAAATAATGGAAATGTTAAGTGAGGAATGCCCATACAAACAAGTCAGGTGTGTTTAAAAACACAAATGCCCCGCAACCGTGACTGTTCCCATTACATAACACCACTCTTTTAACATCAACTTACATGTACCTTGGTCACATGGAACGTTCATTGACAGCATTAGTGTCTTCTGTAGGTTTTATATGAATTAATCCCTAATCCCTATGATATCAGAATAAATACAAGATTTCTATTGTTTTAGCCACTGTGACCTTGACCCTTGACCTTTCGACCCCCAATGCGATATGCCTATTTGGATTACCAAGAACGATCCACAAACCAAATTTGAAGTTCACATGTAAAGTATTTCTCAAGTTATCGCGCTGACAAAATTTCTTTTGTTTTAGCCACTGTGACCTTGACCCTTGACCTTTTGGCCCCAAATGCAAAAGGCTTCTTAGGATTACCAAGAACAATACACAAACCAAATTCAAAGTTCATATGTAAAGTATTTCTCAAGTTATCGCGCTGACAAATTTCTTTTGTTTTAGTCACTGTGACCTTGACCCTTGACCTTTCGGCCCCAAATGCAATAGGTTTCTTAGGATTACCAAGGACAATCCACAAACCAAATTTGAAGTTCGCGTGTTCACGCCCGCAAAAGGGTGAAAATAACACGTGTTAGAATGTTAGAATTTACATCTACTTTGTTTCAAAGCATGGGAAACAAAGTGGATGTAAAATACAGTTTTCTGAGTTTTCTTTTTTTGCACTCCCCTTTTTGAAAAATCAAGCTCCGCCCCCCAAATGGGCAAGATCCAAGATGCGTTCACCTCTAAAAATTATGTTCAGCCCATTTCAATTGGACATGCCAATTTCAGAATTACCACCAAACTGAATGATGTTTTCCATATTAGAACCAAACTGCTAATATACCGCCTCTTTTACCATTTAGACCACGCCCACAAAATGGGTGGAAAATAACAGGTGTTAGAATGCTAGAATGTCTTATTTCATGTTTAAGTTTATTTCAAAGCGTAAAAAACCAAGGAAATTTGATGTTAAATACAGTTTTCATGAGTTTGTATTGTTTGCACCCCTTTTTTTTGAAAAATCAAGCTCCGCCCCCAAAATGGGCAAGATCCAGGATGGGTCCCGATCTTAAAATGATTTTTAGCCAATTCGGACCCCACATGCCGAATTTCATGCTTTTACCACAAAGTGCACGATTTTTCGCTTAGCAGCTCCACTATATATACATGTACGCCTTTTGTAAATGAAAAGCAAGTTATATGTTTCCCGATTCTTTTATTCCTTATACAGTGCAGCAAATAATGGCGAAGGTCAAGGCGGAGGATATTAGCCATTGGGATACCTATGAATACGAGGGCGTAGCAATGTGGCCTGATGTTCTGCCCAGCACCTTGGACGACTTGAAGACGTTTGAAGTTCGTCACGATGACGTCTTCATTGTTACGTACCCAAAAGCAGGTACACACATTATATTGTTAGTCCAAAAAGGGGTTACAATTCTGTATCCTGACTGTCGAGCACACAGTGCAAATAATGATGTTGTTTCTTAAAAGATTATCTTGGGACTGAGAAACATTTCCAATTAGAAGGTATTTCGAAAGTTTTCACGACGTGACATATAGACACAATGGCTGATCCAGCCGTGTGGTTGCGAACGCCAAAGCTTAAACAAAGCTAATCCGATTACGTACTTAGACGCTGTAACAGAGCCGTGAAATTCGTGAACCCCCCAAAACATGGCCTTTTGAACGTTGTGTTTCTCAGACAATATGCTCAGTATGATTGAAATGTTAAATTATAACGGAAAAAGAAATTCTAAACTTCATGTCAGTGAAAAAATCGCCGTGATATAAAAAGAGTGATATTTATTAATTAAAAACTCGTGAAGGAGGCTTTTATGCAACATTTTTTATTGCACACCATAATGGATAGGAACCTTATTAATATTCGTGAGGCTTGAAAAGATTGACAGATACTGCAAACACCAGTGTTACAACTTTTTTAAATGCACGTAGACGGGCCTATTTTTCCAATTTCGACGAAGAGTAATGAGCATTTCACAACGATTTTTAGCACATACTTGGATAATTATAAGGGAAATAAACCCTGAAAATTGCAAGAAGATACGGTCTTCCAAACGGCAGAAATTAATGCTCCAAGATTTCGCCCGCCAACGTGAACATGTCTGTGTGCATGTAGTTTCATTTAAAATAAAGTGCTACGTAACCTGAGCTTCTTTAATTGAGTCGCCACATTGGATCAAAAAGTTAGTCTGCGTTTGTAGAAGAAAAGACAATTTCGTGTCATTACCAAGACAGCCATGCATCACTATTCAAACCAAGTAACCCTAAAATCGGTTTTGTCCAAAAGAGCAATCAGTGTTCTGACTGTTTGGAACAACCCAGAAAATGATACAGAATACTTTTTTCAACAACTGTAGTACGCACAGTGTCTTTATTAACAACCCTGCTTTTGCGAACGATAAGATGTATAAAATCCACCTTTTTTTAAAGACGGCCCTTCAAAAGGACTTTGTTGGATATTTTAAACTTTTAAACTGAGGTTTTATCGCTGGTGATGTTTGAAGACGATTGAAGCGACAATTTTTGAAATCGCATTTTGGACGAAACAGATTTAGTTTCATTTCCTTTAAATGGTGATATAATTTGAACGGATTGAGCATTGAAGTAATTTTTTTTTCATCTAAAAGTAGTTGATGAAATTGGTTTACCAAACATAATTATTTTTGGTGCATAGGCCTACATATTTTTTAAACATGAAAAATATTTCTTTGGGTTTCGGTTCCGCTTTTTTGATTCACCCTTTAGTGTCGATAAAAGCGCCCCATCAGTCGCTCAAAACGTGGCCTATTGGGGGTGGAACTCAATTCAATGTCTTAATCCTTCTTTGCAGGAACGACTTGGGTGCAGGAGATTATGTCTTGTGTCCTGCACGATGGCAACATTGAAAGGATAAGCAAGAGGCACACATTTAAGAGGGTTCCTTTCTTGGAAATGACAACAGGGGGCGCTGTCCACAACGATGTAATTATATTCAAAATTGATTGTGCTCGATTCATGGCCCCGCTGTAAACATGTCCCAATTTGGAAATGCTTAAAATACTTCAGTCATAAGGACAGCCCATTTTGTGAAATAACTTTGTCCCTGATATGTTTTCATGAGGCAGCATAATTAAGAGCATATAGGTATATGATTTATCACTCAGTTCACCTTTTACTAGTTTTAGTAGATTATATTATTTTTTTTAAATGCCAAGGTAAACTGCTAGTGTTGGTTTCCAACCCACATGATTTTCAAAGAAGGCTGATCAATCAAAAGCAACTTATGATTCAGTTTTGTTGGATTAGGTCACACCAACTAGGACAATTTTTCCGTATTAATATCATTAACAATCCAAAGACATACGTAGCAGTTAAACAACATTACTGGGATCAAATTGCTTAAGAAAATGAACTTACATTTCAAACAGTGACCTGGTGGTGTCCTTTTCGGTTTCATTCTGTTCTTGCCCCACCCCACTTTTTTTTGGGGGGGGGGGTGAGAAACTGCCTTTCCCGTTGCTATATGCAAGGCCTGCTGCTTCCAATCCCTCGCTCCGTGTTGCCTATCATATTTCATCACTTTAATTGAATATCCCGTGTACCTATAATAAGGGTATAGCCCCCCACCCCCGCTTGCCGGGCATTTGCCCCACCCCTTAATTGTGTGGGTAATGTAAAACTGAGCTTTTTTTTTTTTTTTATTAAAAACGCTTTGAGCTGCTTTCCTCGACCCCACCACCCTGGAAATGAGCCCCCTCCCCCGCCCTGCGAATTTCACCTGGTTAAGTGAATCAAAGGTCCAGAACTCCCATTTCAAACAGTGTCCTTCTTTTCTTCGTCATTTGTTTTTAGTCCCTTTGTTTTTCAGATTTGGTTTTGAGTTGGTATTTATGGGGTTAACCTCTCGCTTTTCCGTTAATATACTATTTGCTTCACCCCTTCCAAATTTACACCGTATCTTTTATATTCTTCGTTTTTCCCATGAATCTCTGTTTTCCCTCATATCTATAACTAAGCTTCCCCGTGTGCACAAGATGATCAGCTGGATGCCAAGGAGTTCTCCCCGCCTCATCAAGTCTCATCTCCAGGCACAGCTACTGCCTCCCCAGGTATGGGAGAAGAAAGTCAAACTCGTTTACGTCATCAGGAACCCGAAGGATGTGGCTACGTCATACTTCCACCATTGTCAGATCATGAACCCCCAACGGACGTTAGACTGGGATGAATATTTCCACAGGTTTCACACTGGCACTGGTAAGCTAGGGCTAGGGCTGTGACGTACGTCTGATTAAGGACAGGTTTAAGCTGCGCAGTTTTTGCCGTCTAAACGTTTAAACGATTGTCATGAGTTGTAAGATACAAAAAGGGACATCATGCAAATATTATTTTGCCAAAACATAAAAATTGTGTAAATACTAAAAAAGGGTCTTCTTTGGCCCTGCCTAACTTTCAGACATGCACTCAAACGGAACCGTTGAATAGTTTTGGGATAGTTGATTAACCCGCTCGAAGAAAATTGGCTTGTTTTGTCAAAAACATGCAAACAAAATGAGTCCCGATCGAAAGTTAATACTCCATTTAAACGTTTAAAAATAGTTGAAGGGATACTGATATTAATAGCATTTAAACATTAAAACTTTAATTAACAAAAAACTTGTATACTATAGGTTTTCCAGGCCAATTTCCTAAAATGTTCATTCACTTCTGAAAATCGGTCATTCATTTTCGTCTGAATTTGAATGAACGTCTTTTATTCCCATTTAAATTCAACGAAAGTTCAATCGTTTTCATTGTCCGTGCATTCGATTTTGAGAAACAGACGGCCAATTATGTTACCTGTGCATTCATTTACGCAAACATACATTTTCGTGCAGAGTTCTGGCATACAATTTCATGAATGTGCAATCAAAAGTACGCTTTTCTCACTCAAAATAGCAGATTGCATCACATAACATTACACTAAAAGTGAAATAGAATGACCAATGTTTGAAATCACCCTCTAAAGCGAAAAGGAAGTCTTGTAAACAAATCTGAATGAGCATAAACGAAATGTGCTGCTCAATCACTAATTGATGGAACTGAAACGGAATCGAATGCTTTGGTAGCGAAAATGAAACGCGTGTTGAGAACGATTCTCAAATTCGGACGAAAACGAATGACCGATTTTCAGAAGTGAATGAACATTTTAGGGAATTGGCCGGGAAAACCTATAGTTCTGTAGTTAAAAATACATGACTTAAAACCCGTTGCTTCAACCAATGAAACATAAAATTGATAGTGCTTGTTTCACAACTGTTGGATATGTTTATGACCGAAAACCTTTCTGTTGTTGTTGTTGTTCTTTTAGTTGGATTCGGGAAGTGGTGGGAGCATTATCTGTACTTCTGGGAGAGACGGAATGAGGACCACATCTTATTGTTGAGATTTGAAGACATTAAAAAGGTACATTTGTATCGATTCTCATTATATTTCTATAAGATTCCTTTATGCAATGAAAGAGCTTAGATATTCTGTTTGCAGTGTGTTATTTCTTATACATGTACACGTATGTTTTGATGCGGCTCGTGTGTGACCAATTTCAGCGTAGGCCCCCCTATTAGGTTAATAATTCGGATAATTATTATTTACATCTTGAATCAAGACTCTTTTTTTCCCCGCGAATCAGGATCTGCGTGGCACTGTGCAGCGAATCAGCAACTTTCTCGGGAAATCTTTCTCTGATGACGTCATAGATGACATCACCGATCACTGCACCTTCGAGAACATGAAGAAGAATCCCATGACCAACCCAGACACCCTGCTACATAAGATATTTGGAGAACAGGAAGGGCGATCATTCATGCGCAAAGGTGAAAGTTCGACACCCCTCGTCCCCACTGCCCTGTCGAAGGGCGCCCCCTGACCGCTATTCCCAACCTCGTCCCCGGTGCTTACTTTATTTCCAACCTCTTTTCCAATAGATAGCAGGTAGTGGTGGGCGCGTACTGCTCCACACCCTGGGGACGAGGTTACGCTATTCATTTCACAAATTAATTTGTTTTGTGAAGGAAACGTAGATTCTTAAAGCATTGTGGGTAGGTCACTATATAATACATAATCATTATGTATTGCTCGCCAATGTACATTCCGTGAGACCGTGTCATGCGCACACGGTAGAGTTGTATTCGTACAATGAGAGCTCAACAATTAGGTTGACCTTGGGTCATTGGCTGAACAAAATCCGTCCAATGAGAATTGTAGAACAGATGCACTAAAGACTTCCAGCAGTGAATAGCTATTGTGAACAATTAAATAAAATGTTATGCGCTCTATAGGACCAGTTTACCATGGTTTTACTATAGGCAGTCTTGTCTTGTTTTCTTGCAGGTGGTGTGGGAGATTGGAAAGCTCATTTGTCCGAGTCACAGGGTAAAGCCATAGACGACCTGTGCAGAGACAAGCTGACAAGTCACGGCCTCACTTTCAACTGAGATAAGCGTCAGAGCGAGGCTAGACGTGCACTAGTACAGTGTCACATTTTTCGGGCAATCACCGGAAGCGTTTAATGCGGCAGACCGGTGTAGCGCGAATTTAGGTAACGCGGACTCATTGGTAATAAAAATTATTGCGCAACACCTGATAACAATAACTACGTGGGCAGTTCGTATATTTCGGGGCGAAACTCGAAAGTAACATGAGGGCTAAGCCATGGGTTACGACCAGGCTTCAGGCAGGGTAGAACTTCAAGTCGATTTTTATAGCTCCATGATTCAACTAGACATTTCCAGACTTCTAAATCGTGATAATTGCAAACAGAATAATATTTTTTTCTTTATTCCCATGGCGGGTGTCAAGGCTGGGTGGGTGGGTTGGTTGGTGGACAGTTTACTCGGCCATATATTGTATTCATGCAACTCGAGTATCATAGGCCTACAGCTTTGCATTCGAAGACCGGTTTTGTAAACACTGAGGCGATGTGTCTAATTTGCATATTTTTGTATAATAGATCACGACCCATTCGGGTGCACGGACGGTGCCGCGTATTAAAGCCGCCTTCACACGTTTAACCCTGTGTCATATGAAAATCGGACTCATCTGAAAATCGGACTCCTTTTCCCTGTTATTGGTTAATCCCTCGCACGTGACCAGACACTCTCCCAATTATCATACTTTCGCATGCGCAATACTACCAATGAGTCCATATTTAACGAAGTCGGATATTCACGCTATACCGGCCGCCATGCACGGGTTGTACCACTTAATTGGTACGGACTTTTGCACTGGAAAAATTGTCTGGGTTAATTTTACCAAAGAAAGGGTGAAAACTGGAACTACCAAAACTTTGGTTGTTCTATAACCAATTGTTTGGTTTAGAATTTCTGCTAAATTCAACCAAAACTTGTGTTCATTCAAGACCAAATTTAATTTGGTCTTGTATGACTACAACTTTTGGCTGAATTTAACATACATTTTTCACCTAATGTCTAGATTATCCTTAAATTAACTTCCATCCATGTAGAATAGATTTCCTCCAAGTTATGATTGTTTTAAGTGACACAATTTATCGCCATTTCACCACGATATCAGCTGTTCCCATGCATTACTGCAGCGCACGTGTTTGTGTGTGCGCTATAAAAATAGGACTTGCTTAAATTAGAGATAGCCGCCTCCTAGACCTCTAAAACTGTTTCGGATTGGCCTGTAGTTTTAACAGATTATTTCTTAATTTAGTCTTTAAAACTTAGGAATAACACACTAGGAAGTTGCCTTTATATAACGTTTATCTAGTTCAATCCTCTAAGTTTGTTTTTGGAAGGTTATTTAGGAATAAGGAATTACTTACAGATTTTCTTGTACTTTTCGTCTGCTAGGACATTTATGGATATTTATGAGAGATGACGTCACTGTATTTTACTGAATTGGATTAGGTTTGTTTACGTTCAGTAATAACTTTACTCTTGGGTTTTCTTGATGTACTTAAGTCATTTCTGAGCTCATTCTTAGGTTGAACTTAAAATGTAGAAAGTGGAGATTATTGTATATTTTGATTGATGACTTTGCAGCATACATCATTGATTTCTCAGATGACTGAAAACTTTGTTGTGCATAGTAATTTTCGCCAGTTTACAACCTGTGGGCGTGGCTTATTTACTACGCGTATGGAGCGCCGCGCCGTGGCGCGCAATTCAATGGACACATTTTTGTTGATTTGGGTTGGTTGGTTAGTTTTGCTTTTGGGTTGCTTGAGTCTTGTACTGCTGATCGCTGAGGAGCTCGGAAGAGGAGCCTAGGGGAGGTGTGAGAGTATTGAGAAGCTTATAGGGGCATAGTCTGAAAACGGAGGAGGAGCCAAGGAGGAGATAAGGAGAAGTTTGAGAAACTGAGGAGGAGTTTGGAAAACTGAGGAGGAGCTTAAGGAGCCAAAGAGGAGCTGAGGCAACCTCGTACCCAGGGTGTCGAGCAGTACGCGCCCACCACTACCTGCTCTCTCACCCTGGTATTGGATCATTTGCATGTGCAAGATTTTTGCACACGTATGCAAATGAGGAACAGTCTGGTACCTGGATATGCGTTACACATTAGCGTTTGTTTTTGTATGCGGTGTCTGGGGTAAAAACAGAGTCAATTCGTAGCAGCGCGAGCACGGCGCGAGTTACGAAAACACGATTTTTGAAATCAAACTGTTACGATCTTATCGAGACAACATGCAGTATCATATTTCATATTAATATGAGCAAATTGGAAAGGAAATTAGTATTTTCGAGAAGGCGTGGACGAATGATCGCGAAAACACGTACTGCACGTTGTGAATATATAGCACCAAGTACACGATAAAAATCCATTACTAGCCAATGGCGGTATCCAATCAGGATACAGGAAGAAAGTTTCCTATCCAGGGTTTACTATTGGAAACGCGGTTGGAAATAAAGTAAGCACTGGGGACGAGGTTGGAGCTGAGGAGCTGTGACAACGGCATAGTTCATGTAGTTTGTAAGTTATTAATAATTGGAGTGGAGTGGAGGAGCAAGATATTGCAGGCCTTTGAATTATTTCCATTGCTGTTGAGATATTCAAGAAACTACTGGCTGACCTGTCATCAGAGGCCTTGGATGGAGTTTTAGTTATATTTATTATCTACTGGCAGACGTAATTGGCTTGTGATACTTATTTTCTACTGGCAGACGGAGTTGCCTAGTGATATTATTTGTAGGTATTGAGGTTGCCTAGCCCTTTAAGTTCAGCACTGTTTACTGGAATAATTTGAGTCAGCTATTATCCTCCCCCCCCCCCCTACTATCTTTTATTGGATTCACTCAGTCGTTGTAATATATTTTTATTACATTGTTGACTAGTAGAGAGAGTGTGCTATTCTTTATGAGAATCTCTTAGTCAAAAATTATAGCTTGGTTTACTTTTATTCAGCTCATCCTTGATATTGTAGATTTGTTGTTGAAGTTGAATACTATTCTTCGAGTTGTACTTAATTATTGCCTGAAGCGGAGAGTAGTTTCTTTTAGTCCGTCCTTAGGAAAATGAGACCTTGCCCTGCCTATTATCTTTTCACCTTGGTCATTTCACCCTAGTCTTAGATCAAGAAGTACTAAACCGGTGAGGCAGAACTCCGGAGGTTTAGGGCCTATAAATTGTCCGCCTGGTGGCAGCGCTATCGTGGACTGTGTTCTGAGACGAATTGCGACAGGTCCCGTTTTTCCGCCACACAGTGTACTTTAATTGTCTTTCAACAGAGGGCGCGCCCCATAAATAATAGTCCCCACAACTAACAACGCGTCAACACGGGGCAAGTTCGAGCAAGGACCAGTGGTTAACTAGTGGTTGGTTCGTGACGTACCTAGCGCATGCGCGCTGAAGTTGAACTGCAAACGACTCTGTAGTCTTCGCTCGTACCTCTCGCCCTGCAAACAGGGATGGCATTCTGGGTAATTTATCATGACCTATGTATAAAGCATCTGGCTGCAGCTGTAGACCGCGGTTAGCCAACTTGCGCGCAAATGCCATCCATAAAGCGTCTTGTTTGCAGGGGGGGGGGGGGGGGGGATGGGGGGGGGTTACGAGCGAACTCTATAGTCGAACTATACTGTCATCATGTCAACGACCGTCAGAAAATGGCTGTCGCACAATTATGCAACACTTGTTGCATCTCTTTATATTCACAAATAAAAGTGATTGTGTATATTTTAGGACATCTTTACTATCGCCAATATTATTGTACAATGGTGACAAAAGTGACATAATCGTAAACTATGATGGAAACTGTGCTTGGTCCCCTCTGCACTTTGGTATGGGAATGATTGCTATTGGTAACCAGCTATAAATCGTGGCGCGACCGTCGTGGATGATGCAAATGCCCATATTTCAAAATGCTTTTAGAAATACCTCAGAACTCTCACATATAGTTAAGCTGCACAGAGAAATGATGATCAACATGTCATCTTTCATTTTCTTTTCATTTTTGGGTGGGTTGACCATTTTCAGTTGACTTTTCGAGAAATTCTCACCCAAAGAAGACGAGCATAAAAAATGGACGTCTGCAGGTGTGTCAATGGGGGTGGGGTGGGCAAATGTCCCCGCCCATCTTCGAAAAAAACTGATAAATTGAGAGTAATGCTGGAAAAAGTACAAGTCATTCGGGGGGAAATGTGCTGCCCCCCCCCTCCCCCGACTCATGGCGACGCCAGTATGCTGGGGTGTTGTGATTGTGAACGGGTACAGCGTACTGCTTGACGCAGTGGGGACGAGGTTGAGGTGCATGCATTGATCTCTGTGTAGATCAATGGGTGGGTGCATGTAACACTACGTCTCTTTCAGTATATTTTTCTCAAAATGTTGACAGTATCAGTAAATATCAACAGAAAAAGTCATCGATATTTTAAAATTCAGATTTACGATGAGATTTAATTTTTTTAGTTAATTTTATTTTGCTAATTAGTCCTAAATAGTGATATAAATGCACCTTTTTAGAATCATGTCAGTTCGAGGATGTATCGCGCGAAAACCGAATACCGCGATCACGATTTTGCAAACACTGCTGCAGCATAGCGAGGCCACCCTTGATGTTGTTTTCTTCCTATTTCGTGAAAAGGAGCCGCTTTTTGTGAAAGGTAACAACCAGGTAAATGTCGCATTTTTTGAATAACTTTTGGAAATAAATTTCCTCAGATTTCCATGCATGGACTTGCTTTTTTGACACTAGCCGGGCTGTCGGTGAATTATAGCTTGAGCTGTTGAGCATGTTGAGAAGCATTGCATTACGACTGACGTCCAGGGGCAGGGAATAAATTGTACCGCCATAGCGATAAAAATTAAATGTTCTCATTTTTTTTGCTATGGGGACGCAAGTTCTACGCTTTCGTTGAAAACATTTTCAGTACGAACTCCCGCGGGAAGACTTACGCTCGCGTGCTGTTTGCTGCCGCTTGCTGCCGTGGCGGCAGCGTGCTAGGTGTGCATGCACGCGCGCGTAATCTTCACACGGGCAATGACGGGGAGTTCGTACTGAAAATGTTTTCGCGAAAGCGTGGGATTGCAGTTTATTTTTGGGTAAACACGCCGTCCGCGGCCATATTTGCCTTTTCTAACTAAGCCCAGCACAGGCACAATTCAGGACACAAGGAATATGAAAGAGAAATTTCAGCTTCCTCCGTCAGGTAGAAATATGAAAAAATGTGTTATAATTTTTTTCACTGTGGCAGAGATTCATACCCTGGACTCCGTTGCGTGTACACAACAGAGTCCAACCTGGGCTATAGCTTCGGTATAACTCCAGCTTAACATGCTTATCAGGAATTCACATGTGAATTCCTGATGAGCATGTTAAGCTGGAGTGAGTTACTCAAGCTAGTGAGTCATGTGAAATGACCCTTTGAAATTTAGTATCAGTATCACCGTGTAAAAAGTCCTTGTATTAAAAAAACTACTCATTAAAGTACTTAATCTTTCTTTTAAGACAATATTTTAGTATTTAAAATGCTAATACTTGTAATTTTTTTTTAATTGAAATGTTTTTCCATTACAATTGCATTTGATAAGTTAGTGAAACTTAAGGAAAGGGAACAAATTCCATACTGGGCCACCATTCATATTCCTAAGGCCCCCCCCCCCCCAAAAATGGTGTGTTTACGGTAACAGCCTGAAAAAAATCCAGGTAGGTAGGTAGGGAAATAATTTTATTTTGTATTTTTTATTTCATTTCAGTTGTGCATCTTCATAAACCATGCGTGTTCTTTCGCAATTTTTTTTAAATAAAAACATTGTTCAATTATTCAAGCATTCAAGATATTGAATTGATACATTTCATTCCAAATTAATTCGTACCATCCCAAGGTTCTCCCCAGGATTTTTTCAAACCTGTGGGGGAAGTTTTGCTGTGATTCAACAACCTGCGAAGCCATTGCGTGGGGTTTAAAATGTTAAACTTTAGAAGCTCTTTGGTGCATTTTAGAGCAAATCTGTGGGTCTTAAACTTAAGAAATTTCCTTAAAATTCAGAGGAGATCTTGTAGGCCCCTTATATTTTTGTAATTAAAGAAAAAAAATCAAAATTGTTAACTTAAAAAAAAACTCAACATTTCACAACCTGTGTTAAAGCTTCTTGAACTAGAAAAGTATGGATTACATTTACAAGTAAGTTTCAAATTAAGAAATTAAGGTGAAGGAAAAAAAATCACTTTTGCTTCCGATTGCATGCCTTTCGAAGATCGAAAAAATTATTTCGCCAATTTTTTTGGGGAACTGATTGAATGGAGTGCAATAAAATGGTGTAGAGCAAGGAATCATGTTTATTTTGTGCCTGGATTATTTTCATTTGCGCCACGAAAATTATCAAGACTGGCCATCAAAAGTGATTAAAACTTGCCTCACCAAATTAAATATATATTTGAGGTGGGTGATTCCACTATATTCTTAACTCTTTCAGTGCCAAACTCGTACATGTACGAGGTATATTTGTTAGTCCAATAGCGCCAACCTCGTACATGTACGAGGTAATGTTCGTAAATGTTCGTACTTAAAATTGCCAAACCTCGTACATGTACGAGGTAGAGTAAATATGTTATCAAAAGGGGGCGCTCTTGCTCTTTCTAATGGTACCATTTTCATGCATGTACGACCTGTATTTATTTTTTCATTCGAGTTCTTGCGAGAGGGCGCAGCACTAAATCTCGTATTTTCTGCAAAAAGTGCGGAATCTCCCTGTGTTCAGGCCAGTGTTTCAGGGTGTATCACTATGTTTGTGACTACTTTTGACTTTCCAATATATCAAGGATATACCAGAGAGTAACAACAACAAATTTAGTGAGTAAAACTTATTTCCTTTTTTTTTTACAGAATTTTGAACAATAAACAAAAACGCTCGAAGTTGGGCGCTTTAGGGTTAAACTTTTCAAATTTCGCGGGCACTGAAAGAGTTAACGTACATCTCAGCCGCTGGCGCCGCCAACATTCAGTCTGGCCGGCCGAACATCGTGCCGTGCACACGGTGCAGTATCAGTGTGCACTGCACTGTATACGGCCCATCCCACGTGGCCGAAAATGTTGCACTACTGCAGAAACATGCAACGATGTTTCGCCACAAGTTCGAGCTTTGCAATCTCGTCATTTTAATGGAAACACATACACAGAAAATAAAGATCACGTTCTGTGAATTAATTAATTCCCAGAAATTCTCTTTCTCCATCGATGTAATTGTTTGTTTGGTATTTTTACGATCCAACTTCGGCTGATTGCATGATCATCATGCATGGTAATACGATGTATGTGGTATTATAGGCAGAAGTCACTGGTTCCGGTCCTTCATCATAGCCTTGATTCCGTTAGCACGCGAAGGGAACCAGTGTATGCAAAGTTGTAAACCTGATGAAGAAATACTGTTTAAGGAGTGCAAAAATTCTTTGATAAGGCCAAAAAAAAAAAGTCTCCGGTTTCTGGTATGCGCGCGCGTCGCCGTAGCCATGCGCGTAGGCAAAATGAAAAAGTTTTTTTTTCAATGAAAGATGATGTCTCAAAACCGCCAAACTCACCGGTTTGACTGGAATTCTGCTGCTGCACAATTTTAACGTGTTTTTAGATGGGGTTATGATCGAGAATAAGCTTAATGTAGCCTTTCTGAACTCTCATATATTTGCACTTAGTTTAGTCGGGCACCATTTGCAGTCATCAGTCGACATTTGAAGCAAAAAAGTCAGGTAAAAAAAAAAAAAAAAGCCGCGTCGCCGCACCACTTTTTGGACAAGCTCCATACCAGAAACCGGAGACTTTTTTTTTTTTGCCTAATAGTACCCTAAAATGTTCTGTCATGGCCCATAGACTTTGTGCAGGAGCTCTGAGTGGTGGCCCAGTATGGATTTTTTTTCCGTAAGTATTTCCTAACAAAGTTGGAAATATTTCTCAGTCCCAGATTCATGTCTTATCATCATTTTTGCAATGACTGACCTTCATTGAGATATATGAAGAAAAAAAGCAGCATCAGGCTGCAACATTCTTTCCAAACTAAATGTTGAGACAAATAAATATGGCATACTTTCGCAGCACTTTTTGCACTCATCCGTTTTGGTGTGCGGCCATCTTGAATTTTGAAAAAGTCAGGGAAAGATTCATATCAGTAATTTTTCCCTTAATAAATGATCTATCAACCATCAGAAAGTGATAATATGTCCTAAAAAGTCAAAATAAGCAAGGACAATTTTTGAATTTTTACTGAGAAAACACCTAGAAATTTTCCGACCAGTCCCATAGGGTTTGTGCACAGGGGTGACAAGTGATGGCCAGATATGGGAATCTTTCCAAAGACGGTCGACACTGTTTTCTTTTTGCAGTCAGTTGCCGTGTCATGCGTACCGGGAGCTGCTCTATTTTCTCTTCCGCAAGCAACTGACAGCAACGTGAGGCTAGCAAACGATTGCCGTAAAAAGGGCTTCAGAAAATTCGCAATTTCCCTGCCAAACCACAACGATCCATACAAACTAAGCTGTTTTGGGTAGTTAAAGACCTAATATATACATCTATCAAGGTCTTTTTTTCTCATAAAAAAAGGATTTCGATGAATTTTGACTATTTTATTTCATGGACAAATCGACTAAAAAATTACGTGATGGAATTTTTGTTTTTCCAACAACGAGGAGAGTCTCCCAAATGTTGAGGTAATCAAAGGAAAGAGTGAACTTTCATCTACAAAAAGTCTCGTGAACTTGATGTTGTTAATATTTTAAGAATTCAATGTACACCTAATGTTTCCACTCCATTTTTCACAATGCGAAAAGGTCGTCGCCATTGTAAAAGCATAGAGCAAGGCCCATGCACGGTATGACCTTTTGACCCCATACGCCCACTGATTGGTCTTGCTAGCTAGCTGGAGATGGCCTGCTTAATATTCATAAGTCATTCATTGCGTGTTCGCGCACGTGCTATTCACAGAATTTTTTTCAGGCCCATACATACGTACGTTTACCCGCGTACATTATGATTGCAAATTATGAAATCTCACAAAAGTCCTCATTTTTTAACCGGCAATTTGGACCAAAAATATAACAGTCTCCTGCACGTGTTTCATAAGAAAATGAAGTGTACACTGTCCTCTTTCTACTGAAGCTTTCCATTTCTTTCGCCTTTTTTTAAGAATCGAATGTACACCTTAAAACTAAAGGCCCTCGCTTTTGTTGCTATAAAGTACTTTATTTTTCAGTTATATTTGGTATCAAAATAAATCACACTATTTCAACTTTTCACTTGCCTAGCCATCTTGGCCAAATAGTGCATGTGTCCAAGTACTTTTCGTGTGTTTCTGTAGTCCTGATCGGATTAGAGATTGCTCACCAACTTGTCCTGTCTTTTGTGTTGTATAATTATTAACCCTAACCCCCTAGGCCCTTGTTGCTTGCAACCATCCTCAATCCTCCAAAATCCTCCAAAATTTTTCAACTCTGCCTAAATTTTTCAAAATTGTCAGACAGTCCTGCCTCAAAATGCATTCATCCTCAATCCAAAATCCTCCTCATCCCAAAACTTTGCACTCGTGTTTAAATGAAGGATAACCAACACCAAATCCTTCAAAATCATCAGACAGTCCTGCCTCAAAATGCATTCATCCTCAATCCTCCAAAATCCTCTTGTGCTTCATTCATCATTCATCCTCAATCCTCCAAAATCCTCATGTGCTTTAATCACCATTCATCCTCAATCCTCCAGAATCCTCATTTGATTCAATCACCATTCATCCTCAATCCTCTAGAATCCTCCAAAACCGCCAGGAGGATTTTGGAGGAGTGAGGTGGGTTAGGGGATAACTCTTGCTTTTCAAATTGAATTTTTTCAATGGGATGATAAACTAATAATTCATTTTATGATTCTTAAATCTAAAGAGCAGTTCTGTGCTGTTTGAAATCTTTCTTTCTGAATTCATATAATTATTCTCATTACATGGTAGGAATCAGCAATGCTAAACCTGCATTTGTCATCAAGCACCAAACTAACAAAAGCCTGTGCGTAGCTGGAGTGCAGTATGGGTATACAAGGATTACTGCCGTTCCTGAAGGACGCAACCCACCGCGTCAATGTCAGGAAGTACAGTGGCTACACCGTAGCGGTGGATACCTACTGCTGGATCCATAGAGGAGCATTTGGTTGTGCCATGCAGCTTGCCAAAGGGGAGGAGACTGATATGTGAGTAGATTTGGGGATGATGCTAATGCCCCTCCTTGATACTAATGCCCCAACGAGAAGAGAGACTTCCGGATTTGGTATAGCATGTGCTGGTGCGACTAGTCGTGGTGCCGTGACTAGTCGTGGTGCCATGACTAGTCGTGGTGCCATGACTAGTCCTGGTGCCATGACTAGTCGTGATGCCATGACTAGTGGTGGTGCCGTGACTAGTGGTGGTGCCATGACTAGTGGTGGTGCCATGACTAGTGGTGGTGCCATGACTAGTGGTGGTGCCGTGACTAGTGGTGGTGCCATGACTAGTGGTGGTGCCGTGACTAGTGGTGGTGCCATGACTAGTGGTGGTGCCGTGACTAGTGGTGGTGCCATGACTAGTGGTGGTGCCGTGACTAGTCATGGTGCCGTGACTAGTCGTGGTGCCATGACTAGTCGTGGTGCCGTGACTTGTCGTGGTGTCATCACTGCCATGACTAGTCGTGGTGCCCTGACTAGTCCTGGTGCCAAGACTAGTCCTGGTGCCAAGAATAGTCCTGGTGCCGTGACTATACTTGTGCTGCCATGACTAATGGTTGCGCTGCAACTAGTTGTTGGGACTAGTTGGTTGGAACATTCATTGGGAAAGTTCATGGGAAGATCAATGTACAAGTTAATTCATGCATTTGGAATATATATATGAAATGATTGAAATTTCATCCAGTAACATTACTCTGTAAAAACTGGAATAAAACTCCACCAACAAGAAAATTGGTAAGTGCGACATTATTCAGAATGCGTCCTTAGCATACCGGTAGATAGAACTACATGTACCTTTATCAATGTATTCCATTTATCGTCTTCACTAGTCGTGTAGTTGCACAGCACTAGTATAGATCCATTTTCTGCTTCAGGGACATTAAAGGGTATATACAACATTTGCAAACATCGTAAAATAAAACTACCAAGTTTTTACGAAATACCTTACTAGGATGTTGGTAAATAACAGTCTAAAAGCATCCTGTAAAAATATGGCACCTGGTGTGAAGTCTTTTTCAAGAAAATTGTATTTTTGTATACATTTCCAAAGGTGGTCGGCCGACCATCGTTGGAAAAACCTAACTATTTTTCAACTACTGCTCCAAATTTGCCACTTTTTTCAGTGCAAATTTTGTTTGCTATTGGTTATGTGCTCATGAACGGGTGCAGTCCAGCTAGACTGGTTCCCTTACCTTACCATTTCCGGCATCTATCAATTGATCCATTTCATCTTCAGTGGAGTCAGGGAACCAGATTACTTGAACATTTTTGTTTTCTTGGCTTTTCCAGCATTTTCGAACACAAAACTTCAAACATGTCAGTGTAACAATATTTGATCTATTATACTATTACTAACCCCTCAAATAGTCCATTTCTGAAAATTACAGCAAAAGCCAATGATGTACATTCCCTTTAACATAGTCTGAGGAAGAGGCTTTAGTGTAAATTTCCATTTGGTTTGAACGTTAAAGCTTCAAATTGTTTTTTTTTCTATCTGGAATGTATCACTCCAGGTATGTGCGCTACTGTTTGAAGTTTATCAACATGCTTCGATCCATGGACATCAGGCCGATTCTGGTATTTGATGGCAGTCACCTTCCAGCCAAGAAATCGGTGGAAGAAAGCAGACGGGAGTAAGTAGAATGGGCTGGATGTTGACCGCATCACTCAGCCATTTGAATCAAGTTTGAAATAGTTTTGAGCACATTGACTTATTCGGTCGATAGCGCAGGTCAAAATGTAATCCATCTATCGGTTGCGCACTGCAGAACTGGCGGGATTGATGGCTTATGCTGTAATGCGTTGGCGCAACCTTTCAGTTGTTCAGTTGTTCAAACCACACGCAGTTGATCATCACTGGTTGTGCAATCACTACTGTACACTACATAAGGCCACAAAAAAGTCTGGTTTCTGGTATGGAGCTTGCCCCAAAAGTGGTGAGGCGATGTGGTTTTTTTTTTTTTGGTGACTTTTTTTCCCTTCAAATGTCGGCTGATGACTGCAAATGATGGCCGACTAAATTTAGTGCAAAATGTATGGGAGCCCAGAGTGGCCTCATATAAATATATCATATGCAACTTTTCCTCGGATCTGCTGATTTCCTCTTTTTTTACTTCCCATGTGTGCCATTGAAAATAGAAAAACACTGTACAAGCCTTGGAAAGATTTGAATTTCCTCTTTTTTTGTAAGTTCCCAGTTGCATGCATGATATATTTAAAGCTTATACTCGATCGTATTCCCATAAAAAAACACGTTAAAATTGTGCAGCAGCAGTATTCCAGTCAAACCAGTGAGTTTGGCAGTTTTGAGACATCATCTTACATTGAAATTTTTTTTTTTAAAATTTTGCTGACACGCATGGCTACGGCGACGCGCGTGCATATTAGAAACTGGAGACTTCTTTTTTTTGGCCTAATCAACTAATGTTTGGGTAGTTGCTATCATGTTACCTTTGTGCAGATCCACTTAACGTGCCCGACAGAATCATTTAAACAGATTGTCAGGGTTTCCGTAGTCACAGAAAAATCCTGGAATTTAAAGTTATCATGGAAAGTCATGGATATGTTGCCATGGAATTGCGTTATGCATGGGTGGGTACATGTGTGCTCTATACTTTTTGCATGCTCAGTGCACTGTTGTGATGCTTTTGTGGTGTTCAGTGGTCTCGTGTCAAACTGGAAGGCTGAAAGGGAGTGGCATCCCTTGCCTCAGTGGGATGACTGACCAGTGTATTGTAAATAGGCTCGTAAGGTGACAAAACAGCATAGGAATTGGTCATGGCAAGCCCTAGTGTTCTCCTGGAAAATCATGATTCCTTTGGGAACCCTGGATTGAGGATTTTGCAGCATTGAGAAAGGTAGAGCCGAGCCACTGGAACTTGATGCCTTGTAGGCTAGGGCAAATCCAGCATTTTTGGAATTCCGAATTTGGAGTCGATTCTATTCGATTCCGGCCTGGATTCGCCCAAGCCTAATGTCTTGTGAAAGGTTCAGTTGTAAACAAAGTGTGCAGTGGTAGAAAATGCTGGAAGTTTAGTAAGTGCGAATAAATCTGGCAACTAGTGCATTGTTTGGGATTTAATTTGTATAACTTGGTCAGTAATTGTTTTCCCTGTGAAATAGTCATTCTATTAGTTAAGAAACCAATTGTGTGGGTTGCTTAGAAACACCTCTCACTATTTTAACAGTCAAATGCCTTCGAAATGTCCATTGATTTTGGCAAAATGCTTCAGGAAAAGTTAAAACTTTAGGAAATCACTTTGACTGATTGCATCGATTTTTATTCAGACAAAAATGGTAAGTGGTCAGAGGAGTGTGATGTGCAAATGTATTGCAACCTTCTGCATAAAGCTGTACGTCTACAAAGACTGTTTTGCACAGTTGTATCGCACAAATCATAATGCGTTTTTCTCTTTTGTTTTTTCTAAATTTGTTGTGCAGGAGACGTGAGCTCTACAGTAAGAAGGGTAAACAGTTCCTGAGGGAAGGCAAAGTATCGGAAGCCAGGGATTGCTTCAGCAAGTGTATCAACGTCACTCCTCGCATGGCACTGGAGGTCATTAAGGTAAATGTGGAGCCAGCAGGGTACCAGTTTCGTGGAGTTGAAAAAAAAAACCAGAAAAACTATTGCTGAGCAATTTTGTGTGCTTAGCGAAGATCAGCGGGCAACCAGTCACAAGCAGTGTATGTCACATGACGTTTTGGCTGGTAACCTAATATGGGTAAGCAAAGATATTCTGTGCTTACCATATTTCTGTGTTCAGCAGCGCCATGAATTTGACCCCAAATGTTAGTTATATCTCGGAAAGGTCTAAGCAGTTGATGCATGTAGCCACTCTAGTAGAAAATCTTCACTAATTCTAGATGGATTTTTAATTATACTGAGCCTATGTCACAGGAAAGCTAGAAATTTTGTGTGCCCTGGATGCATACCAGTACATCAAGTAACTTACAATTCTGTGCTTCAAGATTTTTCTCTTGGCAAGGTGTAAGTCCCAGCATTGCCAGCTGTGTTGTATTTGAGTCCATTCACAAGTCCTTTCACAGCTCCAGTCACAAGTAACTGGATGAACAATGACAAAGGAATGCTGTTGTAACAGTTTATTTAAATACATGTAGCTAGTGAATTGACTTGAGACTGAAGGACTTGTGTTGGACTTGTGATGGACATGTGATGGACTTGTGATGGACTTGTGTTGGACTTGTGTTGGACTTGTGATGGACTTGTGTTGGACTTCTGAAGGACTTGTGATGGACTTGTGATGGACTTGTGTTGGACTTGTGAAGGATTGTGATGGAATTGTGATGGACTTGTGATGGACTTGCAGGGACTCGAATACAACACTGATTATCAGCAGGCTAAGTGCTAATAAAGACATTTGGAATACTGTCTGACCTACCCATCCCCCCCCCCCACAATGAAAAAAATAGAATCCACAATGCAAATGAGATTTGGTCCATGTTGACAACACTTGCCAAGACTGCCTGGGATGAGATGATCGCATTTTAAGACTTTTTGGTTTTGTTTGAATTGAAATAAAATTAAGGAAACTTTTAAATTGGAAAGAGATTGGCCTTTCATTACTCCTCCCAAATCTTTTTGTGGATTTTCAAACTAAGGATTTTAGAGGGTTAGGGTTAAAACCATTTTTTTCCTTTATTATTGATCAATATAATCCAGGCAGCAAGATCCCTGGGTGTGGACTGCATAGTGGCTCCGTATGAGGCAGACGCCCAACTTGCTTACTTAGCCATCAGCGGTATGGCACAGGCGGTCATCACTGAAGACTCGGATCTAGTGGCCTTTGGCTGCCCAAGGGTAAGATTCAACTCTCACAAGGGTTTTTTAAAACTATCTTTACGGAAGTGGACTGTTGAGCGCATGTGCCAATTGTCAACCAAATGGTTCTCAGATTTAACTTCCCTTTAAAGAAAAATCCTCCAGAGTCATGAATCGGAAAGAAAAATTACATCAACTTAACCAGTTCGCGCCGGGATTATTTTGACATCGACCGGACCCAGGCTCGGGATTGTTTTTCTCGAACCTCGATGGCAGACGGGTTCAGGCCGTCATCTGCAGGTAGCACATCCTGTTTTTTTTTGCCTCGCTCGCTGCGAGCGGGTCACAGACAGATATTTCTGGCCTCGCTCGTTGCGTGTTTATCCGTCATCCGTTCCGAATACCTCAAAACCTTTGCGTGTGTACATGTCATCCGATGTGAATTGGTAAAATTAAAATCTACTTAAGTTAAAAAAAACAAATAAAAGTAAGAAAATGTATATTTTGGGAAACTAAAAACATTCTAAAAGAGATTTGAACCCCACACCTTGACCACATCCCCATGGGCTCCAGTCCATGGAGATATGGTATGTTTGTCCTTAGGCAAGACACTTTTTGTCACTCAGTGGCTTGTCCAAGGACACAAAAAATACGGCCGACAGCTGGATTCAAACCCCAGACTCTTTATCGAGAGTCACAAACTGTAACCCATTAGGCATTATTGACTTGAAGCAAAAACTCAAATTTAGTACTTGGTCCAATAATTGCAGCAATGATTCACCCTGTGTTCCTGACTTTGCCGCCTTTCAGATAATCTACAAACTTGACTTGAACGGGAACGGTCTCGAGATCGTGTCGTCCAGGTTGAACCAAGCCATGAAGATTGGAGATAGATTCTCATTGGACAAGTTCCGCTACATGTGCATAGCATCCGGCTGCGACTACCTGGCCTCTCTGCCCGGGATAGGATTGGGAAAGGCTAAGAAACTCTTCCAGAATGCGACGAATCCAGATATCACTCATGTGAGTGTCTTGTTTGATGGGATATCTTGTACATAAGTCAGTTTGGCACAGTGGTACAGAACTTTCCTTGTGTTCCACTTAAGTTAACAATGCTAATGGACCTTATTCATGAGAAAGCCATTTTGGTCATGTTCCCTGAATGTATTTTATACATTGTGACCTGTTGAACGGGAGGGTGCCAGACCATTTGTTCATTCTAGCCTCACTAGCGGATTCCGCCCCCCCTAAGATCTCGGCCATCGAGTGACGAAACATTTTGAAACTCAGCACATGCATAGAGCAACTCTTCCTAAACATACCCAAGAAATTTCATGACTATAGGTCAAAGGGTTTTGGAATTATGGCTAATTAATTATTCATATGTACGAATGGCAATTCTGCTACATGTACACGACGTATATGCGAAAATTCAGTTTTCATGGCGCGTAGCGCCAGAAAAGTTTTTGCTACGCGGCAACCCGTGGTCTGATTTTTATGTTTTTGGTATCAAAAGATGCGCAAAGCTCGAGGCTAAAAAGTCATAACAGCTCGGGTGGCGAAATTTTTTTTTAGAGGCTATCACGGAAAATGTTGAGGGGAAGTGTCCCCCCCCCCCCGGCCCCTTTAGGGTTAAAACATTAGGGCATGGTTAATCACATATTTTAAATTATTCATCAGAGCAGACTGGTATTGATATGTAATTGAATTTATGTCTTTGCTTTCATTTCTCTTTTTAGCAAGTTCTAAAAATGAAGATTTTACCTCGCTTTCAATTTAATATGGCCGACTTGTCAATAAGGCCCATGTTTGCTAACGTTAATTTTTTGCACAGCCCTCATGTGTTTTCCTCCCATGTTGGCAAATTTCGAGTCATTCCATAATGATTTCCAAAATGGCCAACCCGTACATAGGGGACATCATGCTTTCGCTGTGGCTGAAATCTTCATTTGATATAGCATAGGCGAATTATCCTTTCCAGTCATTATTTTTGTTGTTGAGGAATTTAGAAGATGCTAGCCAAACAGTGATGTCTGTAGCACTTAGTGCAGCAATTTGGACATTTTTATGCCCCGCGGCGAAGCCGAAGGGGCATACTGTTTCCGCCTTGTCCTTCCGTGGGTGGGTGGGTGGGTGGGGGTGTGTGTGTGTGTGAGCTTGTCTTACATACGCAGTGTGGACTTCCGAACAAAAGACGTCCACATAATGTAGGTAGCACCGACGTTGTGTGGACTTACCCCACGTCCACACAGTGTTTCCCCATTTCTGGAAAACAGGTTTAGAGGCATTTTTGGGTTAGGTTTATCTGTAGCAGAATGAAGAAAAACACTAAAGGGAATCATAGAAAAAAAATTGGGTTGAAAGAGTTTTCACAGTTTGAGAAAAATGAGTTTTTTCACTGGTTTTTCTTAACTACACGAAAGCAATGGAAAGTCCACACTAGTCATGTGAAACAAGTATGGGTGGGTGGGTGTGTGTGTCCGGACAAATCTTGTCAGCACGATAACTTGAGAAATACTTAACATATGAACTTCAAATTTGGTCTGTGTATTGTTCTTGGTAATCCTAAGAGGCCTATTGCATTTGGGGCCGAAAGGTCAAGGGTCAAGGTCACAGTGGCTGAAACAATAGAAATTTTGTCAGCGCGATAACTTGAGAAATACTTTACATATGAACTTCAAATTTGGTTTGTGGATTGTCCTTGGCAATCCTGAGAAGCCTTTTGCATTTGGGGCCGAAAGGTCAAGGGTCAAGGTCACAGTGGCTAAAACAAAAGAAATTTTGTCAGCGTGATAACTTGAGATATACTTTACATATGAACTTCAAATTTGGTTTGTGGATTGTCCTTGGCAATCCTAAGAAGCCTATTGCATTTGGGGCCGAAAGGTCAAGGGTCAAGGTCACAGTGGCTAAAACAAAAGAAATTTTGTCAGCGCGATAACTTGAGAAATACTTTACATATGAATTTCAAATTTGGTTTGTGTATTGTTCTTGGTAATCCTAAGAAGCCTATTGCATTTGGGGCCGAAAGGTCAAGGGTCAAGGTCACAGTGGCTGAAACAATAGAAATTTTGTCAGCGCGATAACTTGAGAAATACTTTACATATGAACTTCAAATTTGGTTTGTGGATTGTCCTTGGTAATCCTAAGAAGCCTTTTGCATTTGGGGCCAAAAGGTCAAGGGCCAAGGTCACAGTGGCTAAAACAATCGAAATCTTGTATTTATTCTGAGATCATAGGGATTAGGGATTAATTCATATAAAACCTACAGAAGACACTAATGCTGTCAATGAACATTCCATGTGACCAAGGTACATGTAAGTTGATGTTAAAGGGAATATACATCATTTGCTTTTGCTGTAATTTTCAGAAATGGATGGAATTGGGGGGTTGGAAATATAAAGCAAATATAGTTACACTAACTTTTTGGAGGTTTTGGGTTCGAAATGCTATAAAAACCAAGAAAAACGATCATTTTCCTGTTGTCTGGTTCCCTGACTCCATATAAGAAGAAACAGAGCAGTTTACATACTTTGGGGGAATTGTAAGGTCAGGGAACCAGTCTAGCTGGCTCGTACCCGTTTATAGGTTTGTAATCGATTGCAAACAAGTGCAATGGTCAATTGGGGCTAGTATTTGAAAAAAAAGCCAGTTGTTTCCAACGCTGATCGGCCGATCAGCGTTGGAAATTGATACAAAAATACCACTTTTCTTGAAAATGACAGTATACCAGGTGCCATAATTTTACAGGATGCTTTAGACTGTCATTTACCAACATCCTGTTAAGGTATTTCGCAAAAACTTGGTAGTTTTATTTTTCGATGTTTGCAAATGTTGTATATTCCCTTTAAAAGAGTGGTGTTATGTCATGGGAACAGTCACGGTTGCGGGGCATTTGTGTTTGTAAACACACCTGACTTGTTTTTCACAATTACCGATTGGTCCATAGCCATTACAAATACAGATTGTTTTGTGCATGTCAAGACAACTACGAGCAAGGCATTGTCAATAAATAACTCCTGGTTAGATATATTTTCTGGAAACTGTTGGTTGTGTTTTAGACTCTTGTCTCCCCATCCCCACTCCCACAAAAAAATATCTAGACTAAAAAGATTATACCCATATTACATATTGAGTCCACTCATAATAATCTGTTGTTTTTTCTTTTTAAAGGTTCTCAAGCGACTACCCATCCATCTGAAGATGAAAGTAACAGTCCCTCCTGAGTACATCGAAGGTTTCCTCCGCGCCAATAATACCTTCCTTTATCAGTTGGCCTTTGACCCTGTCAAGCGGCGACTGGTACCCGTGCATCCTTACAGTGCCGAGTTGGACAAAGAATCATTGACTTATGCTGGGCCGTATCCTTTGCTATAGAATTTTCCGATGACTGACAGAAGCCATTCATAAATACCTAAGACAGTTTACCCATTCCTATTGGTCGAGAGCCCATCACGTGGCCGGTTTTAAACGTTTGATAAATACTGGCTGGCTGGTCATAAGCACTTTTCCAGTGTCACATGAAATTTGGACTCATTTGAAATCCGGTGCCGTTAACCGTTTTATTGGTTGAACGTTCACAATCCTCACGTAGGCATGGGCAATACTACCAGTGAGTCAGTATTTCATGGTCCTAAATTCACAAAGCACTGGCACAGCTGCGTTCTGCGCCACATCGCGCAGTACTCATGATGCGTGCGCCAATGTTCATACAAGGAGTTGTTTCTGAGAGGGACATACCATAATATACAATGTAGCTAGAGGGGTGTTTAAAAAAACATGAAGTACAATTGTTGAACAAAATTGTTTTTTTTACATTTATGAATGGAAAGAAATGTGTGCTTGGCCGGTTTAAACACTATGTTTAAGACCAGTTGGAGTCTGGATGCTGATAATTACTGGAGCCGAAGGTGTTTAAAACCGGCCAAGCACTCATTTATTCCCTTATTAATGGCATATGGCACCATACTCACACGCAGGTGGTACAGGCATACTCAGTGCTCCTTCCCCAAACAAAGTTTATAAATTACAATCGCACATCGAATTTGAAATGCATGTTACAGTATGCCAGCAAGTTCTTAATGATGCGTTCTTGCTTACTTTATCTAATGAATGAATTTTGAGTTCTCGTAACCTCAGAGTTAGTGTTTTTCGTTTATCAGTCTGTTTACTGTTTTTACACCTTACATCACTGGGCCTAGCTACTGTTCATCTGAACTTGCTCTGCAGCAAGCGCTGGGTAACATCGACCCCAACACAAAGAACAAGATTTTTGATTTCCAACCTGAACGGAATAAGGTAAACACAATTTTTTTTTTTTTTTTTAATTTTAAATTTTTTTTTTCTTTCAAAATGTTTCTCCCACAATTAGAAAACTAGTGCAAACTTATTCTTTTTCTCCCTTCTTTCTAATACAGCCTTACGACAAGTCTAATCCCAGACACAGGCTCAGCATTTGGCACAAGGACTACCGCCCGGGACCGGACTTTTCCGAGGGTGACCCGGCTGAAGTGCAACGACCCAAGACCCAAGGGAAGGAGGTCACGCTGATGGTCAATGGTCTGAAGCTGGACGGTCAGCAGAGAAAGCGTCCCAGACCAGGTATGTTGTCTACGTCCCAGAGTTGTAATCAAATTTCCACAAGTCGCCAAAAGACATCACAAGTCATCACAAGACATCAGTCACATGCGTCATGTGCACACAAGCCATATGTCCTTCATAAATTGGCCACAGACTATCACATGAAATCTATTAAGCCCACCCCTGCCAGACACAACACAGTGCGTGAGGTGGAAAAGTCTGGTGCACTTTGATGCATTCAGCTATCAACACCAGTGCATAAACGGCCACTTCTGAGATAATGAGAGCTAGTCCCATTGAACAATGCCCCATTTGTATCCTGCTGCATTCGGTGACCACAGACTTTGAGGCAGTTTGGCCTTGAGACTTTTGCCTGATGGATCTTGCTGCACTAAATGTTGCATGTTGTTGCGTTTGGCAGGGTTTCTAGCCAAAATATCCTGTACAGGTCAAATCATAAAACATCTTTACGTCATCTGATGAAAACACATTCATTTGCACATAAGTTTCCATCGGTTGCTTCTGTTACCATTCAGCACTCCAGATTCAAGAACTACCGAGTTTCATGAACAGAGGTCTGGCAGCTGGATATATAAGCCAATGTAAAAAAAATCCTGCATGGCCCCACCTTTATGAAAAATAGATCCCGAATGGTATGCAATGGAACAGACCTGTGTTTTCTTTAATTTAATCTTGGTTGTCTTTGTTACATTTCTACGTACAGTTGGATTTATTCTTGTAGAAATTCACCAACTTGTCCTCCCTGGTATATACATTTAAGTAAGAATTAGCAGTGACCTCCTAAAGTAAAACATTGACCCTTTTCAATTTAAAGATGCAGATGAAGATGACCCAAGCAATGAGGATCTGACATCCCTTTACGGATCTCCCAAATCCAAGAGACATCTTGCAGACCCAAATCTTGTGGTGCCGGAAACGCCCGAAGATGAAGACAAGGTACCAGGGAAAACTGGTCCCCGTAATCGGAATCCCTTCTCGAAAGAAGGCAGGTTGAGGGACAGCCCTCCAAAGTCGGCGGTTGGGTTTGGTTCTGAGGAACGCGTCGTCAAGACTCTCTCCAGGAGGAACATTTTTGCGAAGGGTCGGACGGGTGGCAGTTCTAGACTGGACCTCTTGAAGTCAAGTACAGTTGTTACGAGCAGGTAAGGATGAGATTATTCCAAGTGTCTTTCAGACTTGAAAAGATGCCAAACCCTAACTCCCTAGGCATTTTTGCTAGAATGCAACCTCAATCCTGCAAAATATTCCAACTGCCTCCGTGTAAAAATAGCATTCAGCCTGAAAGTGGTCCATGGAGGGATGACCACTGCCTTCATTCTGCAAAATCCTCCATGATCACTGTCAGCATGTTGAGGCAGAGCAAGTGACATCCTGGAGCAGTGCGCAGGATTTCAAGTATAATCTAGGCCTAAATTTATGCACGGCTGAGCATAAACAACACAAGGCCCAGCCCAAGACCTTGACACAGTGCATCCTCCGAAATCAGCCGCACATTTTTGCCACATAGCCTCAATCCTGCAAAATCCTCCATTTTGTAAAGAGGATTTTGGAGGATTTGGGAAGGTAAGGGTTAATTAGGGAAAGGTAGATCCTGTTTTTACATTTGGAAAGTACACAACTTCCCTAAACAGTCTGATGGACTTTGAAGGATTCAGAAAGGCTCTCAGCAAAAATGCATAAAACTTCAAAAAGAGGGATAGCTACCTCTGTCAAATCTAACACTTGGCAATACCTGACATTTTTTTAAAATAGCGGCATAGATGAGACGTAGAGTCCCATGCAATGTAAAAGAGGCTAGATGTTTATATCTGACTGAATGTTTCAAAGTCCTTCAATAAACCAAACCAAAATAGTGTTTCTGTGTTGTGAGATATATCGTATGATGAATTATAACCAATTTTGAGGGAAGCTTGAGGGACATACATACATGTTCTCCTTCCCTGCAGAAATCAAGATTTTGTTTATCTATTTGTTGTAGATTTTTTGCAACAGAACCAAACCCAGTACTACATGAGATGGCTCAAGCTGATGAAAGTGACCCAGAGCGAGATTGTAAGCTTCTTGATAGTCAAGCACCGTCTGTAACAGACACCAGTGAAAATGAAACAAATGAAGACGATGGAACTTCTGGTGCAGAGACTATGCAAAATGGCAATGTACAGATAGAGAAAGGGTCCAAGGCATCAACTTTGAACAAGCTGCAACGTTTCCAGAGAGCGACGTCTGCACCAGTCTTGCCGTTTACTTGCAGTGCACCAACACTGTCTTCTGAAGAAACCGCAAAGGAACCACATCTGTCAGGATCTCAAGATTTCTTCACTAAGTCGCAGGAGTTGGATGTAGAATCTCATCAGGTCGGCTCTCAGGAAAGCTCTCAAACGTCAGTGAAGGCTTTCACTAAGAAGGGAGTCTTCAGTTGGTCTAGGAAAACAACGTCTGTCACCAGTTTGAAAGAAGGTGGGAGGGCGAGGTCATTCAGGAGTCTGAAGGAATTCAAGAGACAGACAGTTACAGCGAAGCTGGAACGTAGCGACTCCAAGGGTCAGGAAGGTGCTACTGACTTTGACTCGTCCCAGGAGGGTTGGTCGCAGGAGAGCTGCTCCGTAAGCTTGGAATCTCAGCAGAGCAATCTGTGCAGCATTGATACAGACTCGCTCAGTCTCAGTCAGTTCAGCAGCCAGCCTCACAACAACTCTAAGACTTGCGGGATGGGAGAGACAAACTCTTCACAAATCAACTCATTTCAAAGCCAAGATCAAGATGATGTTGTGGAAGAGACACTTGGACCAAGAGAAAGTGAAGAACCAAACAACAATTGCAGCCCATTGAGAGGCATAGAGGAACATCTTATGAGGATCAATAACGGACAATCTCATGAGGAAGTTCTCCCAAATCAAACATCTGACTCAGACAAAGATATTGACATTCTGGACAGTGTTATGGATGTAGACTCTGATTCTCAAGACCCAAAAGTTCAACACAGAGGGACTGTAGATCCATCTAAACTGTCGGAACCCACCTCCAAAATTGGGGCTAAAAGAGGAAAAATGGCATCATCCTTGGATGAGAAGGAAGAGTTTATTGACCTGACCTCAGAGAGCGATGAGAATACACCTCCACTGGAAAAAACGAAGAGGAACACTTCCACAGGAAAGATGAAAAAGGTAACATCTTTTGTATTTGATTAGTCAATTATGTGTGTACAACGTACCAATCAAATAATGTTACTTTTGTACAATGTATTCTTGGAGTCCCCTGCTTGGTTTTTGTTGTAAAGTCAGTTTTTGAGGGAGCACAATATTATGTTTAGTCAACTGAATAAATAATGACATTTGACATTGGATTCAAACCGGTTTTCCTCAGAACCATCACATACTCATAAAATTTCACAAGGTGTTTCTGCAAACTCACCTTGCTGTTATCCCCACCACGCAGACGTTCCATTCTTATTTGACATCTCAAAATATCCGAGACCAAAATTTTGGGAGGGACTTTGTACTTGCTTGTTTTTCTACCCAGATTTTGTTTGATATTTGCATGTTATAAAAGTTCTTAACGCAGAAACTAAGATACGTTTCAATATTACCATTATGTTCACAATCTATAGTTTAGTATTGATCTTTGCGATTCCTCACAATGAAGTGCATTATCAATTCTTTAACCCTGCAAGCTGGATTTTTGCCTTGATACAATGATACAATGAATGAAATATTTCATTTCAATTAGCAATTCACTGTCAGAGTTAAAGGCTAGAATTAAACGAGAAATCTTTACATTCTTTGTTGTGGGATCTTCAAATGTAACAAGAATGTTTACCTTGATTTGAACCCCCTCAGATGAAGAGCAACTCTGACTTGGAGGACACACCAACCCTACCTGTCTTCCCTAAGCTTCCAGGTCGGTACTTTGCAAGTTGTGTCATTTTTCAAAATCATTTTTGGAACAATCGTTACTGGATAATCAAAAGCATGACAGTTTCACGTGAGGGACTAAGTGTGAAATATTGCATTGCTTGTTACTTGGCAAATTTGAGTGCATACAAAAATCAAGTGACGCCCAATATTCAATCAATACATACTGTATGAGAATTAGGGTGGGAGCCAGTTTTTGCTATTGCAGATATATTACTGAGCTAAACAGGCTTTTGTGCTGGGCAAAGCTAGGAAACTGGCCTCTGGCTGTGGTACCACTCCAGGCCAGAGGTTAAACTAAGTGACTGTAACTTGAAGGGGTGAGATTTGTCGGGATTTCAGGATTCTTAAAGAATCTCTTTTATAACCTGGAATTCTTGACGTTTTATTATAAAGGTGTATTTACCTATAGACATATATAGAATAAAAGGAATGGGTATTTTACAACCCTAACCCTCCAGGGTATTTTGGCTAGAAACCCTGCCAAACGCAGCACCATGCAACACTTGTCTAAATGACGAGCCTGCCCAGTGTAGCAAGATCCATCTAAAAGTCTCAAGGCCAAACTGCCTCAGAGTCTGTGGTCACTGAATGCAGCAGGATACAACTGTGGCATTGTTCAATGGGACTAGCTCTCATTGTTTCAGAACTGGCCGTTTATGTACTGGTGTTGATAGCTAAATGCATCAAAGTGAACCAGGCTTTTCCACCTGATGCACCGTGTTGCGCCTGGCAGGGTTAGGATTAAGGGGTACCTATGTTGCTCTGGGGCCCTCAGCTTTTTATATTAGAACTCCCAATCTCACCTCTCAACTTGATGCCAGTTGATTGTTCAAAAGTTGAAGATGCACCAGGCATGCACCTTTTTCTCGGATCCGCTGATTTCCCCGTTTTTTAACTTCTCATGAATGTCATTACAAATTGAAAAATACTGTACGAAGGCTTTGTGTGGTTTGGGGTTTCCTCGTTTTTTGTTTTTGTTTTTCTAAATTCCTAGTTGGATGCCTGATACACGTATCATCAATTCTGAAATTGCTTTTGAAAATCCCTTGACAAATTTCTAATTTTTTTTTCAGAATATATCGCAACTGTGCATGAGTGCGTTGATTTCACTCCGATTACATTTCTTCTTGAAGCGTTTCATTTTTCAGAGTCAAGTCGATTACTAGTCATCCAGTCGCAAGTCACAAGCTCTTTATATAATTAGCTTTGACAAAGACATCATTGTCCAATCCCGCTATTTGCTACCTTTGCAACTGACTTGTGGTGACTTGTGATGGACTTGACTATATTTATTTTCCTCCCAGTGATCCCAAGAAGTCCTTTTAAAGAAGATATAAAAATATCTTTTATCCCCCCCTTGTTGTTGTGTCTTTCCTTGAAGGTTCAACCAAACTGAATGGTCAGTGCAAGGCCTCAGGTCTGTCCAGACGTCAGAAGAGTAAGCAAACTCCCAAGGCAGATGAGAATAGAGGCGGTGGTACCAGACAACAGACGCTATTTGCCTTCATGAAGAAAAGCAGGTCAGTATACTCAGCCCATAGGCTGCGTGTCTGAATTACTCGACTACAGCCAGCAATGACACATGCACCTTTTCCTTGTATCAGCTGATTTCCTCATTTTTCGCTCTGCACTTGTGCTATTAAAATCTGAAAAACACTGCATAAAGTATTGTAAAACTTTGTTGTGTACATCAGTTGCATGCCTGATGCACCTATGAAAGCGACTGAACGTACTTCTCATTTGGCATGCGTTTCTGCAAGCAATTGCCAAGTTATTTTTAAACAACCATTTATCAAAACTGGGGCTCCATGTTTTCTGAATTGTCATCTTCGTGGTGAAGATATTCCTTTTTGGAGGAGGTGGGGGGAAAAAAGTGGAAAAATTTAATCAACAGTTCCATGGTGATAATCAAATGTTCTGTTTTGTATCTATTTGAAGCGTTAATATTTTGGGTTTTAATTCACTTTCTCAAGCCCCTAGGAAATAGAATTTACATGTACAGTCGAATCTCGTTAGTACAAACTCTGTTAATACAAAATTCTGGTTATAACAAACATAAAGTCTTAGTCCCGACTGTGCATTTATGTGCACAATGAATGGGACTGATGTTCCTCTTAATACAAAATTCTGATATAACAAACAATTTGGCTAGGTCCGAACGAGTTTGTATTAACGAGACTCGACTGTATCTTCAAGTAAACTTGAATACTTGATTCTGATTGGTTGATCCATGGCAACAATGTGATATGGACCGTGGATCGCACCCTACTCATTGCGCTCTTCCAAGATGCGAGCGACATTCCAGCTGCATCCGCTAAAGTACTGAAATGTTTGTGTAAAGCGTAATCGTTCCAATTGTACTGCGAGTCAGGTTTGCTTGAAGATAAATTGGTTATCGTGCTCATGGAACACGAAAAATGTAGTGCGTCTGTGTCCCACATACCACAAGGCCGAAGACGCACTACATTATTCCGTGTTCACTTGCGCTCGCGGGATAACTAATAGTGCACCCCATGCGTTGTTTAACCATTAGCACCTATGTACTAAATTGTATTACATTGTATTAATTCACTGACAGTTCCATAATATCATTAGGTGCTTGAGCACTTTCAGACACTACAGGGAGAAATTGGCCGGGTGATTTGGGTGCTACAGGGGGGCTAATGGGTTAAAAGCACCTTAATTTGCTGGAGTCTATTACAACTCAGAAATCCATCACAAATAAGTTCAGGGGATGCTAATAAACAAGTTCTTTTTTAAAGCTATTTTGAATAGCTTGTGACTTGTGATTTGTGATCGACTTGTGATTTGTGAAAGACTTTTTGAGGTCGTGACTACAACTATGGTACAGCTTTAGGCAGAGTGTCACAAAACTGATTGAAACGTCAAGTGTTTGTCTACCAGTATCGCTCAAAAACCATCTTTGTTAACCATTAAAAAACCTCACAAATGTGGCAGATTTAAACAGAACCGCTTCAGGGCTTTACAAAATTGAACCAGGTTTTGACCAACGGTCTTGTTTTTGTTTCTACCAAATCTGTTTGCAGTGAGCGAAGGAAAGACGCCAACCCCACGGCTCCCCTGTCACCGTCCAAACAGAACATCATATGTGATGAAACGCCCGAGGGGGATAGCAGTCTATGTAGCAAGGGCATCGTACGATTGCAACGAAACATCTTCAAATGAAAGTCACGGGTCTTGAAAAGCAGAGGAAGAAACTAGCCACCAAAAAAATGCCCCAACAATGTAAACTTTGACCATCAATTTTGAGCTGTCGCAATTACGGTACAAAATTTGACTGAGCAGCACCGTTTTTGTTCAGATAAATAAAGTAAATGTTTGGTAGACACCTGTTGTCCGACCATAATTTCAACCTGTTACAGAGATCTCTGTGGGAGCTTTCAGAAAGTGACTGTGTAAAATGTCGCCCTCTAAAGCATCAGCATCACAGAGCTTATACATACAGACCCCTTTTAAAGAACGCCCTCACTGAGGACAGGTCTCTGTTCCCTGATACCAGGGATGTACTCGGAGTCCATCACAAGTCCTCCAGTCCCAAGTCAATTTTTAAGCTTTTCAAATGAGCTTTGACAAAGGCTTTCCTTTCTTATTGTTCATCGACTGTTTCTTGTGACTGGACTTGTGATTTACAGTGAAATCTCGATAAGGCAAACTCTGATAACTCAAAACAACTGTTAAGTCAAACAAAGAATCCATTCCCTTCAGTTGTATAACAATGATATACAGTGGAACCCCGCTATAACGAACATCGCGGGATCCACAGAAAGTGTTCGTAATAACGATCGTTCGGTATAGCGATTTTGAATCGCCGGTACGCTCTTAGTGAACTGGCATTTCTCACATCCCGCGGCTACACGAGGAGTCGTCACAAAACTTTAGCAACAGGTGGTTTTCCCTTCTATTCCTTGGGGAAATAATAGCCATCTATCACTCTTCCACATTCAAACATGATGTAACCATGGGTGGGTTGATGTTCAGGAATTAAAAGTGAGTAAGTGACCCAAATAGCATTTAATGCATCCGGTAGATTTTTTGTTAATGTTAATCTGTTGACTTTTTTTCAACAAAATGTTCGGTACCTTTTGTACATTAAAGCTGGGAGCCACGGATGATGTTCGTTATAGCCGAATGTTCGCTATAGCGGTTTTCGGTATAGCGGCGTTCCACTGTACAACCCTGCTTCACTCAAAACTCTGCTTAAGTCAAATTTTAACCTGTTCCCTTGAAGTTTGACTTATCGAAAGTGGACTTGTGATGGTCTTGTGACGGTCTTGTGACAGTCTTGTAATGGACTCGACTACATGTACATCCCTGTGTGATATCCATGATTGGACACTGTGTACTCTCATTGTCACTGAATTTAAAACAAAACCTGTCCTCTGTGCAAGGAGTGTATTTATTGGACACTCGGTATCTGACAAGGCTGCCTTGAGCTTTTTCAAGAAATGTAGTAACTATTTGAAATACACTCCACCTGGTTCAGATTTAGCACAAAATGGTCCTGCCATACGGAATGTAAAGCCAGTATTTTCTCCTGATGTTGAAGTGTTGCCAATCTCTTATTTACATAAATCCTGGTGTTCATCTTTTGCCAGGTTGAAATGAAAAAGCTTTGGAATGTGCCCGAAATTGAGACAAACTCCAAAATAAATAAAGGTTTAAAGGTTTTCCCCACGTTTATTTGAAATGTCAACAGTGTTTTATATAGCACAAGTAATGTCAAAAGGCCAGTGTTAGTGAAAGGTTTTTGATAACAAAACGTTACATTCAAAGATGACTAATATATGTACCGGTGTATTCTGAATAACAAGAACAATCTCCACATTTTGTACATTTTCTAACATTTTCTTGAAAACAAAAGTTACTTAATTTGCATCTAATTTTTTTATTGAAAAGATCTAATTGAAATAAAGTACATCTTATTTTGTCTTTGAAAAATGTGTGTTAAGCCATCTTAGAATTTCAACTAAAGACCGCATTTCCTTACATTGTAAGTTCCCCCAGTCCAAAAGCTAGAAGCAAGGCCTGTTCAAAAGGCAGTGCTTCTGACATGCCGAACTCAATTAATTTATTGATCACCCCGACGCAAATTCCATCTTATGAATAGTTTGGTTGTGGTACCCGCTGCTACATTAGATTCCAACCAGCCAGCCAACCCCGGCAAGCTTGGTGGTAGAGTGGTAAGATGTCTGCGTTAATACACTCAACCAAAAAAGAAAGTCCCCCCCCCCTCCCAATACTTTTGGTCTAACTCAAAAACTACTGAGCACCTCTCGCTCAAATAACGACTTGTCTAAATCAGTACAGAAATTCCTTAGCAATCCAGCCATACTCTTTGAAAACAGTTGCACTTTTGTATTCGTGCATGCTGTGGTTCACACTCGCCTTGCACGTATACAAAAGTGCAACTTTTTTTCGGTACCATTTGTCATAAATTGCACAATTTTGTACACATTATCACTGTTTTGGGCCAAACGAAGAGTATGGCTGGATTGCTAACGAATTTCTGTACTGATCAGTGGTAATTTGACCAAGATGTGCCCAGTAGTTTTTGAGTTAGACAAAAAAGTATTAAGGGGGACTTTCTTTTTTGGTTGAGTGTAGTAGTCCCACCCGAGTGGTTTTTTTCTCGCAATCAATCGCGACAACACTGAGTATTCAGTGTTTATTTATTTGCTCGGCAAATTAAGTTTGGCACAGCACCGTTCTTTGGCTAGATAGGGTCTGATGCGCTCTTATTGATGTCCTACGAATATCACTTGCTCAGTAAGCGTCTATGATATGCGAGCAGATTCAGCGATTATTTATGCAACTAGACAGAGTAGACAGTGTCTTGACCTCGAGATTCTGACCATTCAGCAGGCACCTTTTATATCGGGTCTTTGATAACCCGTTTTGAAAGCCAATGTCGGCTTTTATTAGATCTCTATGCCCATTGCTGTATTACAAAAACATGGCATCCAAATTGACCAATCAACAGCTTAGTCCAGATTTCGGAATGAAATGATGTCATGTCGCGTGGGGTCGCATACATTTGCATGCTTAGCCATATCAGACATTGGACCAGAGACAGACAAAGAGGGCGGCTTTGGACAATGGGTGATAGAGTTAGGGCAACCATATTAGGAATGCACCTGCTCACAATAACCTCTCGCGTTTACACCATGGAGAGTAAAATTGGCGCGAATATTTGATTGAGCTTAAAGTGCAATGAACTGCTTGAATGTCATTTTTAACCTGGCAAGTGACTCTAGATGCAATTAGTTTGACTATTAAGCTCGATGTTTAGAGCAATTGACGTGCTATATAGACCAATCGGGACATGCTATCAGTTATATCGTGGAGGCCCTACTGTTAGGATAATCCGTCATGGGGCAGTAGCTTTGCACAGTGTTTTTCCCCATCGAAGGGGGCCTGAACAGTGTACAGTGATTATGTACTCGAATTCATCTGCAGACAAGCTATTGCTGAGCTCAACTCATTGAAATCGAAAGGCCATTGGCACTGCATTTAAAAGAGCCAAATAGAGACAACAACAAAACAGTCTACATTTCAGTGTTTTATTACAAGTTTGCTTGGCACATGAAGCCACAGGTACTTTGCAAGTATACATTTCATATACAAATCCGCCTTTTTTTCTAGTTTATTTTAATGAATAAATATGATTGTGTGCATAATGCAAAAGACCCTTATAAAAATATAGAGAAGTCACCTATAAAGTACATACACGTACAATTCATTCAAAAGTGAAAGGTTTATTATAATGCATACATATACTGTCTTCTTCTTACAAATACAACCAACTAAATACAGTTGATGAGTTTTTATTGGCCCAGTTACATGTAAACTGCTCCTTGTAATGGGACTCCGCATATAACTTTAGAATGAGATGGTCTGAAAGGGCCAAAGTAAAACAAAATGAATAATGGATCTGTGTTCTCACAAATCAGCAGTAAAACTTGCATTAATTTGCATAAATGTATATAATCGTGCATGGTTTTTGCCCTAGTGCAAATACTGCACAATATGCAGCATTATCAGTTTTTTTGCTTTTCATTATCATACACCAATGATCATGGGCGTCGCGAGGGGGGGGGCAAGGGGGGGCACTTGCCCCCCCCTGGAAAAGCAAAAAAAAAAAAAAAGAAATAGGAAGAAAAAAAAAGAAAAAAAAAGAAAAAAGAAAAAGAGGCGCGAAGACAAAGTGGTGTAAATTTAATGAGTGGGGGGGGGGGGGGGGGGGGGGGGGGCAACTGTCCCTGCCCCCCTCTAAAACTGATAAATCGAGAATGTGTTGAGAAATACAAGCATTTTTTGTCAAAAAAATTTTTTGCCCCCCTCTAAAAAAAATCCTGGCGACGCCCATGCCAATGATGGGCCTTAATTTGGTTTCAGATTCTATGCTTGAGACACAAAATAAATATTAAATGCTTTACACTCCATACATATACCAAGAAAATAATAATACTTGTGAATTAAACACAGCATTTAGCTTAATACTCCAGCCTTCCTACCAATAAATATTAATACATTGGTTGAATTTTATTTGGGAAAACAGCAAAATAGAAAAGTATGCATGTTCTCCACTTCAAAATTTACATACATGTAAGTGACGTACATGTATCTTCAAGCAAACTTGATTTGTTGATCCTGATTGGTCGATCCAGGGTATAACAACAATGTAATATTATACCTAATACCACAGCCCACATTGCGTATCATTGCGTATCATGCGGGAATGGCGCTCGTGGAACACGGAAACGCGTCTGCGTCCCACACTACGGCCTTCGGCCTCATGGTAAATGTGGGACACACATGCACTACAATAATCCCTGTTGCACTTGTGCTCATGGGATAACTACCAGTAATAGTATTTGTACATGTACAATGTACTGGAATGTTTGTTCAATTGCAGCAAAAAAAACTATGAGTTGTACAAAGTTGGCAATGATCCTAACCCTGCTAAATGCAACAGAAAGCAACACTGGCAAAAAGTTGTTGCATTTATTAGCAGCCAACTCAAGTCCCTGTGCTTTGTTGCATCTTGTTGCATTTAGCAGAGAAACATCAGAATGAAGGAGAAAAAGTAGTGTAGTTTTAGGTGTCGGAAAAAGACGGATTTCGAATTTCTTTTGTTTTTCCTTATAATAACCCTAATTCTTATGTTTTTCTTTGTTTTAGGTGTCGGAATTAGACAGATTTTTTAATTTCTTATGTTTTTCTTTATCTTAGGTGTCGGAAATAGACGGATTAACCATTTCTTATGTTTTTCTTTAATTTAGGTGTCGCAAATAGACAGATTTCTTAATTACTTATGTTTTTCTTTATTTTCGGTGTCGGAAATAGGCGGATTTCACCATTTGGGGTAACATATGGGACGGCGTGAACTGACCGTTGTATCGTGTAGTCTACATACACGTCGACACGAAACTGAGCATGCGCAAAAGAGCCTTCGATGTTAAATCTGGTTTCCTGCTCATAATGCATGCTCTTAATACATATGGCGGGAACACAGTCTAAATAATAAGTACCAGGGACGCAGTCCGCATCACAATGTACTTTCTTTCCATTGGTTACCAGCGTCTTTATTATCCGTCATGTGGCATGAATCATCGCACACACGTGTCATTCGGTCTTCATCATGCTTCTCTCGTAGATTCATATCTCATCTTCTGGGTTTTTCAAAGTAATTTCATTCTTAGATTATCAATTATTTTGATTACTCCTTCCTTTCCTTACGATGCCATGTCTAAGAAGAAGAAATTAGATGTCATTGATTTCTTGACAGACTTACGCCATAAGGACAGTGTCATTTCAACGACTTTTAACGGCCAGGAATCCCCTGCTGAGTAACGTGGCAAACTTCGCCAAGGCGAAAACGCTGTCTGTCTCTGACAAACTTTCTCTATTGGTTGCGAAATTTTCATTTGAAGAAGTGCAAAGGGTGAGAGATTGTGTTATAGAAAGTAGACTGGAAGACCCAGTGCTATTGTCGGAGGGCCTGTCTGCCGATCTCGATTTGTGTTCAGCACTACTGTCTTACTGAATATTTTGCGTCCCATCCCAGCTCAACAAGATAGTTCGAGGCCTACCTCCAGCAGCTCTTGTTCAACCTCCAGCTCCAACTCCAATTCTGACAACATTTCGACACTTTTCGCTCCACCTGTATTGTACTGTATTAATTGCGACAAGCACCTAACAAGACACCATCCCATCACAAGAGTGAAGTACTTTACGTTACGTGGCTTAAAGTGGGCGAAGAAAGTACCTCTGAGGTGCCGTTCGTGCAAGATCGTTTACAACTGGAACGAGTACGGCAGCGACTCAACTTATTGGCAGCTTTACGAAGGGGAACGACGGCCAGCCATTGAGGCTAATGATTCTGTATTCTTCAGTAGGGAGTTGTTTGACTTTCAGTGCTGCCTTGCGTAAGTACCTGATTATATATGCTGCAAAATCATCATGTTATTATGCATGTGCCTACAGTCATGACAGTTGTTTCCCTCCCCCCAATGCACCTAATCCACCCCTCCTGACCATTTGACAGGCGTCACTAATGCAGATAGAGTTTAGATTCGTGAAGCCCATAACTAGACTATGATTCGAGGCAATCCTTGATTTGTTACAATTTGAAATAACAGTAACACTTCACAGAATTTCTGAATGTAGTAGGAAAATGATTTGCTCTAAAAAAAAAAACGAAGTTGAATTCTTAATTCTTAACGCACAATTGAAATTAGATTCTTGAAGTCATTATATAAGCGTTCATTACAATTCAACTTATCATAACTATCATTCGGGGCAGTTGTCATGTACGATGTCCCAGAAGTAGTCATTAACATTTTATTTGACAGATAAATAAGGACTGTTTTTCGTAATGTTGTTGTGTTTAATAGGAAGAGGCGTAATCATACATGTCGCCACTACATTTTAAGTTAAGTGGAATGGAGTTTGGCCGCCACCATGCATTTAAGTTTTTATCAGACTTGTGTTTTCTTAAAAAGAAGTGTTTTTTTGGCTGGGAAAATAGCAAGGAAGAACCGCTCCAAGGAAAAAGAAGGGCCATCCGGCCTTGCTGGCATCAGCATTCGTCAAGGCACTCGACGACTCGGAAGATGCTGACACGTAAGTATAACATTCAATGCCTTTTGTTAACAGTCTCAATGCTGTATACATCGTTTTCTACATTAACCACCTCATTTCGCCTCCATTTCCCATACAGACCACCAGTCGTGGCCAGGAAATCCATCCAAGAACGGCCCATCCAGGCTTGGCCATCCATGACGCCTGTCTGCAAGACAACCAAGGTCAGCCAGTTCGTCCTGGTGGACCGAGACGTCGTCAGGCGACGTGTGATCGAGGTGCAGGGGTGTATGGCATCCTGCAGACTCTCGATCAGAGATAATTTCAGTCTCGCCCGAGTTAAAGCCTGCCAAGTCATGGCCAACGAGAGAAAAAGGAGAAGAAAGTCTCCAACCTGGCACCTTCACCTAACCTGGGATGAATTTCAGCGCCGAGTTGGTACGTGTATTTCTCACGGACTTGTACAAGACACTTGTTTTATATTAGCATTAACTTCATGTGAGCTTTGTTACTCCTTACAGGCGTTGACATATACACCATCTGCTCAGCCTTCATGGAGGAGGGTCTGCTGGTCGAGAGAGAAGAAGGAGATGAGGGCCACTTCTTCGGCTCGTGGCGGGTGCCCTCCGACTTCATGGAAAGATCAAGGCGGGACATGGACAAGACAAAGGAGACAAGAGAGCCCGAAGAAGACGAGCCAGCTGACCCCCAGAACATCGAAGAGGAAGAAGCAGCAGCTCCGGCCGACCAAGAGCCCCGGGCTAGGCCCTCCAGGATCTGGAGAAAGAAGCGCGGCGGGATCGCCCTCCTCCTGGACGAGAACGAACCGGCCGACATCTTAGAGAGGAGGACGCGAGTAAGGTTTCTCCCGCAGAAGACTGAGACCAGTCCAACCAGCATCAAGAAAACAGGCTTAAGTTAGTCAGTATATAGTTATGTTATTGTATGCGGAACACCTTTTGTTATCTTTTGTTTTTTGAAAGAGTTCGGCGGCCACATCGATTTTAACGATGCTTTTAGTTAGAGAGTTGCGGACACATTGAGTTTAACGATGCTTTTAGTTAGAGAGTTGCGGACACATCGAGTTTAACGATGCTTTTAGTTAGAGAGAGTTGCGGACACATCAAGTTTAACGAGGCTTTTATTTAAAGATTTCGTTTTTATTTGTTTAGTATTTTTTCTTTATTTCTTTATTTTGGTCTTTTTTTACTTTTTCTTTATTTTGGATTTTTAAAACTTTTTCTTTATTTTTGGATTTTTTAAAACTTTTTCTTTGTTTTTGGACTTTTTCTTTATTTTTGGACTTTTTAAACTTTTTCTTTATTTCTGAACTTAAAAACTTTTTCTTTATTTTTGGACTTTTTTAACTCATTCTGTATTATGGGACTTTGTTAACTTATTCTTTATTATTGCACTTTTTAAACTTTTTTCTTTATTTCTTAACTTTGGTACTCCATTATGTTTCTTGAATTTATTGGGTACAGGATATTTATAATTATGTACGGGGTAAGAATAAACAGACTGAATTGCAACTTTAAAATCTCTATAATCAATACAAAATGTCTTTCTAGACCTGTCACAGGAACAAAAGACTTAACTACTATACAAAGTACATGTATCTTGTTTTGCTTGGGCCATAAGTTATCTCAGACTCATGTTATGAATTTGGGGGGGGGGGGGGAGGGGAGTTGACCTACATGAACCCCCACAACTCGTTACATTAATGTTGCCAGTTTGGTACTGTATTCATTTGCTGTGTAAACTTTCTGAATGTAATGTGGATGGAAGCGCAACAATTAATTCAAAAGGGTTTGGAAAAAATTCAATTCCCAACAAGAAGTTTTTGAAAACCAAGGGTCATCAGTTCACTTCCAGCAAGAATTCTTCAAAAGGAAAACAAAAAGAACAGGAATATAGCAGGAATTTTTCACAGGGTGGTAAAAATCTTGTTGACGCGGCAAGAAGACAGTCTCCCAAGTTTACTGTGCATAGGGCAGATGCACATGTACAATGTACATGTCCATGTATTACTCTTCTATCCAATCAGTAGGATTATTTCACTGTCACAATGACTAGGGGTAAGCATGAATGACAAAGTACAAAGAGGCAGAAAAGGCAGCACAGATTAAGAAATTACAGCAGCAACCACGGTAAAATCAGCAATGTTTAAGTCATGTTTAATTTACATAGCAAAGAATTTTTCATGGGGCTATGGTTACCAAATTTGGTCCCCTACAAATTTAAAGTTTCATGAGATTGCAACTTCTCTGCTGATCTCTATGATGTCCCATGTAGAATAAATAGAAACGCAGCACAAGAGCTCTTGAAGAAGCAAGAACTTTCATATTGAATTGTTGCATAAACTGAGTGACTGAGGCTAAAAACAAAGATAAACCATGAGGAAAAGGTCCGAAATCATGCCTTTTTGAGACATATCACGCCGTATCTCGAGAACCGTTCTATGTTATCAATTAGGTTCCCTCGGGATGTTGAAATTCAGTTGGACTATTGTTTGTTAGAAAACGGATCTGCCATTTCCAGCAGTTCCAGTAAAACATCAAAAGTAACCCGGCAATCTTCAAAACTTTGGAACATTGATGTTTTGTGGATACTAGAGGAGCAGCAGGGGAAGAGGAGGTTTTGATTCATTACATCGGCTGGAGTGCTGTCTATGACGAGTGGTGACCGATGTGTTGTGGACAGAAATCCTGCCCATGAGCAGAGTGACGCCTATTCATTGTTTGTCAATGCTCTGAAAGTCGGGATCAAAGACATTTTAAATTTGTCTAGAGTGCAGAACACTGAGATCAGGCTAAAAACAATTGTGCAGAGAGAAACATTTGAACAGTTTGTCGAACTGCACTTGCAAAAGGGCAAAACTTCAGGACGGCGTACAATCTACAGAGGATCGAAAGCCGCTTTTTCATTAGTATTGGGGCAAGACTGGTGGTTTAGAGTTTGTAACGGACCTGGTGACTTTGCGTATATTGTAGAGGATACAATCCAGTTGTGGCTGCTGAAGAGGAAGTGTTTGCAGGAGTATACTGTGGACCTGAAGAAAAATTTGTTATATGTATACATTGCAAGCCTACGCTTCGAGAAGCAGTATGGTAATAGTACCAATCTGGATATTTTGAAGAAACCCCTCGTACAGATTAAACTTGAACATGTACATATCTAGGATATAGTGGGCGACTTTTTCAGTTTGAGAGTGGTATGTTACAATTCTGATAAAACCAAAAGAAATCATGCAATTTAAACAAGGGTTAGTTATATCAAGCTACATGCAATGCAGGCCTGTAGGAGGTTCCCATGTTGATTTTAAAATTGCCTTGAATGTTCTTCTTAAGCATGGCTATCATAACATTTTCTGTACTTTTTTTTTTATTCTCTCTTTGGTTTGGATAAACACTTGGCTATGTCACATCCAACTGATGATTGGATCATGAAGTAATCAGTTTTGCCCTACATGAACTTGAAAAGTTTAGTGGACATGCACCACACAGTGAAGCAGCAGCAAAATCAGTCTTGGACATGTTGGAGAGACTGTGTCATGACAAGAACATTGATTTGAGTTATATTGATGTTGATCAGGCACTGTCTGCTCTTCATTCGAAACTCAAAAAAGTTGTTGGAAAATTGTGAGGTGTAGTTACTGAGGGTGGCAGGCAAAGCAAAGCGTTAGGAGATCAAGTACACAAACTGAAGCTTGGTGGTTCTAAACGAAAAATCTTGCATGAAGTTGAAAATGGAAGAAAAAAGGAAGATTGCAGAGAAAGAAGCTAACAAGGCCAGACAAAAAGCAAAGGAGTAACAAAAACAAAGAAAGCAAGCTAACACTTTGCTTTCAAGGATAATAAGGAAGAGGACAGTGTCATTGCAGTGTGAATCCTTAAAACCGCATCAATGATTTTTTGGCCGAGTACTGAATGAGGCTGATATTACAGACCATGGATGTTGACTGCAGCAGCCCGACACAAAGTGGCCACTTGAGCCAAAAAAATAATACATCAATGTGTCTGTGTTCGTACACAAAACCTACTTTGTCATCGGTGCGGCGCCAATAATGCCCTTCTTCCCTTTGTGGGCAACAATAGAGAATTGTACAAATTGAAACGAAACTCACATACGGGTCAGCGGTACACCTGTATAATGATAATCTGTCCTTTTTCCGGTGCATGGCCCTTCATAACAATAATAACGTCAGCACCAGGCATTTGGAAAACGACACGCAGCATTTTCTTCACCAATTTCGTGAACCAATTTTGCAAATCCAAAGATAGATGGAGTAACACTTGACGATCTCAATGACACAGAGAGAACATTTGAGATAAACACATATGGACAAGTGCAGAGATGCAGATTACAAAATAGTGATGATTCTTCCTGCAAAGAGTAATGCTAATGTAACTACATAGGACAACAGTCAAGTTTAAGAGTAACCACAGTACTCTTCAGAGTAACCGCAATGTTGGCGTATAGGACAGCTGGAATTTTCAAGAGTAGTAACATGCCTCAAAATCCTAATAATTACTTCAAAAGAGTAATGGTTGGCATCTCTGCAAGTGTATTCCTAATCTGGATGGAGAATGAAGAGTCAGAGGGAATGGGTCACGGACAAATTGGGAACACATTAAGCCAGGTAGACAATGAGTTAGAGCTCAGCTTGTGCGCCGTTCACATCGCCATTCCCCCAGCACCCTGAATTTGAATCTTTGTGGAACACACATTTCATACATGTGACTTGAGAAAATACAGCAAGTCATACGCTTGTGGAAAATGTGGGCAGTGCTTAATAAATAAAACATAATCTACAGCGACACGTAATAACATGTGTGACTCTCACTCAATGTCCAGCATATGTTTCCCAGTGGGGCATATATACTGTCTCCCCAAAACAATAACTGACAAACTAGCCACTTTAGGTGTCCATGTAATAGGGGCAAATTTCCCTTAGTTGTTTTTGTAGGAGTAGTTCCCCCTGCATAGTTGTTTTTGCTAGAATGACCCACCCTAGTGAAGCTCCTCTGTGCTTCACATGGTACCTAGATTGACCCCTGTACATTTAAGAGAGCTCCCCTCAGATTATGTAACACGGAATGTCCCCATCCTTGTGTGTGGAGCATGTCATTCAGCAGACAGGCAGTGGAGGGAACAGCCAAAACCTTTTCCCCAGCCCTACATGCATGCCTTGATTGACTCGTCTGCTTTTCCGTTTTGGTGAGTTTTCTTTTCATTATTTGGGTATATTTGGTTACGAAATCAGTGATATAGACATTTTGTAGTCGTTCTTTCTTTTAATTAGTTTCTGAAGTTGTTTTCCACTCTGTGACTTTTGATATTTTTAGGACTGAAGTAGACTTTGCCTAAACATGAGTGTTTCCATTTCTAAGTATTTCATTTGTTGGCGTATTAGTGTATAGTTACCACATATATACCCAGTTTCATTTACATCAAGTTTGATGGAAAATAAGCTGTCATCTCCTATTTTGAGTTAGAACGACTGAGTAGAATTGATTCTTTTTGATTTTTACTGCGAAGGATCTAGTATATCGATTTAGTGTGAACTTTAATTTGTATTCTTATTATTTTGTATAACCTTTTGACTTGCTGCACAATAGAAAAACAATATTTTATTTGTGTTCTTGCTTAAGTTTTGGATTGGAAGTCCAACATTTAGTTGTAGGAGAACAGGTGGGCATTTATCTGACTGAGAGTTACTGATAAGCCATAGTTCAATCAAGCAGCTTGGACGTTTGTTTATACCAAGCCAGTTTAGCTTGTACTGAAGTAAATTACTTTGCCCTATTAAAGGGAGATAGAGCCTGGACACTGGAAGTTGCATGTTCCCCTGCTGGGACTGTTCTGTAGCATGGAATTAGCATGTTGACTCCTGGCTTGCATTGCTTATAGCATGGAGCAAGGAAAACGGAAGGAGTGAGCACAGAATCCCCTTATCAGTCCCATCAATTATCACCTAATTACGTCCCATACGCTCAGCACGGTGCCTCCCGCTGCGGTTGTTTAGTTTTACGACCGCAGGCTGCCCTTTGTACTCAGTGATGGTCGCCGCGATTTCGTTGGTAACCAACGTACTCAAGTTATAAAAGTTGCAACGAGTACCTACTGGAGTAAAGAAATGCGTGCAGACAAATACACTTTTTGCATGCGCAGTTGAACGATGTAGCCCCTGCTCAAACTCCTTGAAACCCGTACA